AAAAAAAAAAAAAAAAAAAAAAAAAAAAAAAAAAAAAAAAAAAAAAAAAAAAAAAAAAAAAAAAAAAAAATAATTTTCTTTAAAGCTAAAATTTTGTTTTGTCATCCAAAATTTAAACAATAATGATAAGCAATGCATTTAATTATATTTTTTGTGGTATTTGAGCTATGAACATTACTGATCAATTGCAACTATTTAACTACATCATAAAAAATTTTTTGTTTTTATTATTTATTTATTCCTATCAAACTTTTATATTTATATATTTTTTTCAAAAACAGCATTTTTCTAACCATTTTGCCTTTTTTCCCCAACCTATTTAATAAACTCTTTAATTTTATAGTTTAAAGGAGTTTTATTTTTAGTACAGTTCACGAAAATAAATGTTATTTTATTTGAATACCATATTTCATTAGAAATAAATGTTTGAATTGAAATAATTTTTATACATTACCAAACTTGCATTATCGCTGTGTTTTTTTTATGTCAATTATTTAAAACTAAAAAATATATTTTCTTTTTAGAATCAATTATTCTTATATTAAAATTTGAAAAGATATATTGAATTTAGTAAAAAACCAATGTTTACATCTGTATAATGAGCAATAGCACAAAAATTACAAAATATAATGAGCTAAAAACATGTCTCCATCAGACTGTGCATGTTTCTGTTTTTAGTTTGAAATGCTGCATATTTAATCAGCTATAGGCTTTATTCAAGACATGCATTACTTTATCAGTTATAAAAATTCAGGAGATCCTATGTTATCAAACTGATCTTGGACATGAAAAAACATATCCTGAGATTGAGATGCTAACAATCTTGATAAGAAAAGTATTAACAATTCATTATTCTTTTAACGAACAGTTATAAAAACATATTCTAATTTATTCATGCGCTCAAAAACTGCTTTTTGTGAAATATCCACACACTTCTGGTTACTGAGTATTTAAAGTGAAAAACTATAGTGCTAACAAATGTTCAGTATTTTTATTAGTTTAGTATAGATATAATTTTTAAGTTTAGTTGATTAGATGATGATACATTTACTAATCAATACAAATTTTTATAATATTGAAGCAGTAGGAAAGTAAAGCCTAATAGTAGGTGGCTGCTTTTTGAATTTAGCATTAAAGAAGTGATTTGTTATGACAGGTTTGCATAATGGAACATCAGCAGCAAGCCCGGATTAGCCACTTTGTGAAGTGGTAAGCGTGCATCATCAGGCTGCAAGCTACAGCATCATCTGCCGACCGAATATATTTCACTTTAGTTTCGGCACAGACTTTATCTCAGCATCACAATACTAAAAAGTATTGTAATGTTAAATTTTTGGAGAAACGTTAAATCTCTTAGAAATGTATGAAAAAATATGATATAAAAGAAAGTGTTTTTAAAGTTAAAGAATTATCTTTAAATTACTATTCATAATTTGAAAAGAAACCAAAATTTTTTCAACTTTTTGTCAAAAAAAATCATTAAATATGTACAACATGCTTATGGATGAATTTTTACATTTATTATTGGAATAAATTTCTTTTTTTAGAAAAAAAATATGTATGTTTATAAGAAAAGAGTATTCATTCATAAACAATAAAATTATATGTATATTTTTATTATTTATCTCAGAACTATCGCTAATGCTCAATCTTAAGGGCATTGTCCTAACTTACCCCTTTTTCAAATGTTGAAGTGGGGTACTAGCAAAATGTTTATGCTGAGTAAGTAGTTTACATAAAGTAATGATTATAGGAAGTAAGTATTTTTTTTTTTTAAGCAAAGCCCCTGTGAGGCTATAAGTACAACAGTGAGAGTATATAAATTTCTTACAAATTTGTCTCATATACAATATTTTGACTTTGTTTTTTTATTTCAATAACATGTTGTATTGTAGGTTATTCTATGCTGTAATAAATATGTTTAAAAGTTTTTATATACTTATATTTTTTTTTCTTTCAGAAAATGTCTCTTTACACAGAAGAATGTCGTACCTCACATTCAAGGACAAGATCTGTATTGGAACAATTTTGCACAACAAGTCACTTCAGAACAATCAAAAACACTGTGCAAGAATTCATTATTCATTGAGTTTTTACCCTGGATCTCAGAATCTCACACATCCCTCACTGGAAATGTAAGTATTTTGTTTCATCATGACAGAGAAAAATCACTGTGTGATTAGACTTCCAGCCTTCGCTACAGAAAATTAAAAGTTTGCTAAGCCATGGGAAATGAGCATGCCTTCTATTTTACCAGCTGTTAAAACATGTTATTTGAGCGTCTTAACGATATTTGTACCAGTCGCAGCTATCTCGTCCCTTTAGCAACAACATTTTGATCTTCAAATTCAAAATAAACTTTACAACAAACTTACTGTATTGCGTCTACGCAATGCTTGCACTTCTCAGAATCTGCCACACTCTACTCATCCAGTGTTTTCATCACAGAAAAAAAATGGGAGAGAATTTCTCACCCTTTCACAACAACTGGGTGAGAATTCAAAAAATTAAGTGAGATTTCTAAAAATTTAAAAACATGAATAGATTTTGAAAAAAAATATGTCTTTAATTTTTATACATTTTTAACATCTTCTAATTTCTAAACCATTGAATATTTTTGCTGCATTATCATATGGAAAATGTTCTATATCTACTTTTTCATTAGCTATTCTCATTAGGTTGCTCAAATGCTCATCAGGCAATCTGTTACGATATTTTGTTTTAATTCGGTTTTGGGTGTTAAATGACCTTGCAACAGATGCTGAACTTTTGGGAATCACTTATTAAATTTGTAGCATTGTACACGCACTGTCATATTCTCTACATCTGCCAGCATAGGCTATTCAATTATTTATCTTTGAGAATAGTGAAGTTTGTTGAAGTTACTTCCATGTTCATACTTCAACTTTCACAAATTGATGTAAATTGTCGATGAGGGAGTTTGGTAATTCATTAACAGCTAAAAATAGAGCTAACTTTAAAGAACTTATTATAAAGGACTCATAATTTTTATCTCAACACTTGTCGTAGCTGTTTTCATATTGGAAGACTAAATTTTTTCCAAAATTCGATATATTCACGCATTTTGAAATTGATTAGTAGAGTTTTGAACTTCTCTCGTTAATAATTTTTGAATGCGAGAAACGAAAAAAATATGTGAGATTCTCGTGTTCGCGCGCTTTAGTGAAAACACTGACTCATCCATCTTCATTTGTTTTTCAAAGATTCTCCTCCCTAATGCGACACTTATAATGTTTTACTTATGCTTCATCACATTTTAACCTTGTCCCTGTTTTAACCAACATCATCTTACCTTTTTTGGCAGCACTATTTTATGTATGAAAGATTTAATTGGTGAAATTCATCATCTTAACATTTTCGTCGAGCTATTGGTATTTTATATTGTATATAACAGTTTTCTGATTTTACTCATTACTTATGTGCCATTTTACATATTTCGTCTTCAATCACCCCATTTGGCAGATTTTATTTCTTTTTAAATATACTTGCCTTGCTGTTTTATTTTTTATAACCATCAGTGAAGGGTCGACTCAATTTTGAATTTATGACTACCAACGTTCTACTACATAGCTTTGTAATTTTGAACTCAATTCAGAGAATTCTTGAATCAAGTATGGGAAGAAATTTGTTTTTGTGGAAGACTTTTTGATGGAAGTAAACTGCATTTAAGTTACGTAGATAGGAAAACCTCTCACAGTTAGCCTGACGGCAAGGGGACTCTAACCTTTGATCCGTCTACCACTGAGAATATTTTGCGTCAGCACTGTGGTTAGTGCAAGCCGGGTGCGGAATTCGTATAGACCAGCCATTGCTGGCAATTGAACTTGGGTTCCTTCATTGGGAAGCTAGCGCTCTATCCCTTAAGCCACCACCACCATCTTACATTCATTAACTTAATGTATTTTATTAAGATAAAATTGTAGTGTGCATTTTACCATTTGATCTGCTTTAACATACTGTTTGGTGCCACATATCCTCCTTTGGATCTTGTGCCATTAAACTCTACATTCAACTCAACTCATGTTATTTTCCATTTTTGAAAATAACCTACTATTCCATTCAAATTCTCGACTATTCCATTTGATTTTTAGAGTGAAATCAAACATTTACACATCTGTCTAAATAATGTGTTTTAACAGCTGATAGAGTGGAGGGTGAATTCACTTTCAATTTTTTAGGCCAGGGAAGTTATTTTTCAAAGTAATATAAAACATATCTATCCTAATGACATTCTTTAACAGCTGGCATTATGGAGAGCATATTCGCTTTTCAAGGATTAGTTGTAGTTCTTATGTCATGAAGGCTAGATATCTGTTCGGATTACTTTTGTTTTAGTAGTTCATAATAGTGTTATCTAATACCTCCAATCGTTTTTAGCTGTAAGAATACAAGTACAATTAGGCTGTTTGGACGAATCATTACACTACTACCATCTGCTTTTTCAGTTTAAGATATGGTAGTTTCAGTTTCCTTGAATCACTACACCATGGTCCATAGATTATTAATGTAACTTTAGTGTAGCAAATCAATCAATCTTTCAAAAATACTTATTTACCTTGATTTAGCATTCATAACTATTTGAATTTGATACGCTGTTAATGTGAATTGTGTACAAAGTCATTGAAAAACAATTCCATGATCACAATATTGTATTATGCAAATTAATTACCACACATAAGCATAAGTTTGGTACTAAATTTTAAGAAAAATATGTTTTTATCCCATTTCAATATATTTTGATACGTGCTGTGTGCACCATCAGTTGTGCGCATGTGTGTGATTTAAGAAATTTTCTTCTGCAATTTTTAGCTGCATAGAAGTAGCAAATACAAATGTTTAGTTTTGTCCTCAGTCTTAATCTCATGCTCAAGCTGAATCTAATGCATGTATTAAGTTGTAGATTTTTATGCTTAACTGTTATGAGCAAAAAAATACTGTTAAGATGCAATATTAAGAATTATGTAGTGTATATTGTAATATTAAGAAAGGGTGATAAGTATTATTGGGATAAAATTCCTTTTAGTGATGTTAATTAATTTACTAGCAAATACCATAATAACTTAGATAATTTTATGCTAATGACAGTCTTATACCTGGATTTATTTATTTTATTAAATATCATATCTCATTTCTTCCTTCATAACATTTTAACTATTTTCATAGGCTCTTGCAAAATCATCAAGATTTTTCATTAAATGGCTATAGTCAGATTAAAGTATGACTATTCTCACTTTGAGTTTCAATTATTTACTTATTGATATATTTATTTTTAAGATTCATTGTCCGGAATGCAGTACTGAAATCGGAAGCTTCTGTTGGAAAGGTGAGTTGTAGATTTTTTTTTTCTAGATTTGTAAAAGGAACATTCCTTATTTTCTTCTTAAAATTAGCTCCTCAAATACAAAACAAAAAAATTTCTCTGTATAAATATTTTCTATATTAACATCAGAAAAGTTTTATTTGCTTTAATTGTTAAAATATCATAAATAAGGTTTCCATTAATTGTACAAATGATGTCTAGATTCTGTAGAAAATTGTTTAAACACATGCAATAACTTAATGAAAATCTACAAAATTACTAACATTTGTTTGTTAACTTAACCAAAATACTTTTTAACAAAGAGTTATTCATAACTGAAATCCTAAATGGTGCGTTCAAGTTTCTACAATTAAAAATGACCCCAATTAATTTATTTTAAGTGTAATCATGATCAGTTATTAGGAGTTGTATCTATAATTAGGTCTGCAAGTTTGTCGTGGGAAAAAAGACCCCAAATTTGCGGAAAATTTTTAAAATTACACAAATTCTAAACATAAAAAAATTTATTATATAAATGATGCAAAAGACAGAAATTGCGCAAATAATAAAAAAAGCTTAAAAATACACAACAAAAGTATTTCTTTGAATTTCAAGCAATATTGATATTTTTATTTAAATGAACAGAATTTTGGTACAAAGTATTGTACATTGTCAGATTATTCTCATTTATCCTTCGTCTTTCATCACTTAATATATTTTTATACTTAGAAAACGATCTTTCTGCGTCAACGCTGTTTTTAGGCACCGACAAACTTCGAACTGCCAATTTTGGAGCATTCGGTCTTTGATTTCCAAAACTCGATCAATTTCCCTTCCCCAACATGCAATTCCTTGACCGTTGCTTTGTAAGAAGTAATTGCTGTGAAATCTCAAGCATTCTACATTCAAACTAGTAGTTACAAGCTAACTACTACTCCCCCCCTTCATCTAATAAACTGATCAATATTTAAGAAATCACAAGAAGCCGCCTAGGAAAAATTAACTGGATAGGTAGAAAGGTAGTAGAAATTTCATTGCCCAGTGCAATAGCATGTATAACAATTTTTCTGTCAAAGATTTGATTTATAACATTTTCCTTCTTTTGTGATTCCAATTNAGAATGTTGTACCTCACATTCAAGGACAAGATCTGTATTGGAACAATTTTGCACAACAAGTCACTTCAGAACAATCAAAAACACTGTGCAAGAATTCATTATTCATTGAGTTTTTACCCTGGATCTCAGAATCTCACACATCCCTCACTGGAAATGTAAGTATTTTGTTTCATGACACAGAAAAATCACTGTGTGATTAGACTTCCATTCTTCGCTACAGAAAATTAAAAGTCTGCTAAGCCATGGGAAATGAGCATGCTTTCTATTTTACCAGCTGTTAAAGAATGTTATTTGAGCGTCTTAACAATATCTGTACCAGTTGCAGCTATCACGTCCCTATAGCAACAAACTTTCATCATCATATCTGGCTAGACAGCCCAGGGTGGGCCAGTGCCTTCCTTTGAATTCGAATCCACTTCTCTCTACTTTTGACTCTTGTTTGCCAGTTTTTCTCCTTTAGTGTAAGGAAATCAGTCTCAACTAAATCCAGCCATCTCAGCCTGGGTCTACCTCTTTTCCTGTTCGTTAAGGGTTTGTGCAATAGGATTTTCTTTAAATTTGAGTCATCATTCCTTCTGAAAATGTGAGCTGCCCAGTTCATTCGATTTATTTTTATGAATTTCACAATATCTGGCTCTCTGTAGATTTTATACAGTTCAGTATTACATCGTCTTCTCCAGGAATTATTTATTTTTATCCCACCAAGGATGGCCCTTAAAACTTTTCTCTCAAAAATGGCAATTTTATTTTCACCAGCTTGAGTTAGGTTCCAGGTCTCAGAGCCATAGGTAAGTATTCAAAACAAACTTTACAACATTAAATATGATCTAGACCCTTTTCCTGTATTGCGTCTACGTAATGCAGATGTAATGCTTGCACTTCTCAGAATCGGCCACACTCGACTCACCCATCTTCGTCTGTTTTTCAAAAATTCTCCTCCCTAATGCGACACTTATAATGTTTTACTTACGCTTCATCACATTTTAACCTCTTGTCTATGTTTTAAACAACATCATCTTACCTTTTTTATCAGCACTATTTTATGCATGAAAGATTTAATTGGTGAAATTCATCAGCTTAACATTTTCGTGAGCTATTGGTATTTTATGTTGTATATAACGGTTTTCTGATTTTACTCATTACTTATGTGCCATTTTACATATCTCGTCTATTTTAAGCAATTACCCCTTTTAGCAGATTTTATTTCTTTTTAAATATACTTGCCTTGCTATTTTATTTTTTATCACCATCAGTGAACGGCCGACCCAATTTTGAATTTATGACTACCAATGTTCTACTACTTAGCTTTGTAATTTTGAACCCAATTCAGAGAATTCTTGAATCAAGTATGAGGAGAAATTTGCTTTTGTTGAAGACTTTTTGATGGAAGTAACCTGCATTTAAGTTACGTAGATAGGAAAACCTCTCGCAGTTAGCCTGATGGTAAGGAGACTCTAACCTTTAATCGGTCTATCACTGAGAATATTTTACGACAGCACTGTGGTTAGTGCAAGCCGGGTGCGGAATTCGTATAGACCAGCCATTGCTGGCAATTGAACTTGGGTTCCTTCATTGATAAGCTAGCGCTCTATCCCTTAAGCCACCACCACCACCTTATAAACAGTTTTATTAACTTTATGTATTTTATTAAGATAAAATTGAAGTGTGCATTTTACCATTTGATCTGCTTTAACATACTGTTTGGTGCCACATATCCTCCTTTGGATCTTGTGCCATTAAACTCTACATTCAACTCAACTCATGTTATTTTCCATTTTTAAAAATAACCTATTCGTATCCTAAGCTATGGAAAATGAATTCTTTACTATTCCATTTGATTTTTAAAGTGAAATCAAACATTTACACATCTATCTAAATAATATGTTTTAACAGCTGGTAGAGTGGAGAGTGAATTCACTTTCAATTTTTAGGCCAGGGAAGTTATTTTTCAAAGTAATATAAAACATTATTTCAAAGTAATATAAAACATATCTATCCAAATGACATTCTTTAACAGCTGAGATAATGAGAGCATATTCGCTTTTCAAGGATTAGTCTTAGTTTTAGTTCCTATGTCATGAAGGTTAGATGTCGGTTCGGATTACTTTCATCTTAGTAGTATAGAATATAGTATTATCTAATACCTCGAATCGTTTTTAGCTGTAAGAATATAAGTACAATTAGGTTGTTTGGAGGAATCATTATACTATCACCATCTGCTTAAGGTTTGGTAGTGTCAGTTTCCTTGAATCACTACACCATGGTCCGTAGATTATTAATGTAACTTTAGTATATCCAATCAATCTTATAAAAATACTTATTTACTTTGATTTAGCATTCATAACTATTTGAATTTGATATGCTGTTAATATGGATTATGTACAAAGTCATTGAAAAACAATTCCATGATAACAATATTGTATTATGCAAATTAATTACCACACATAAACAAAAGTTTGGTACTAAATTTTAAGAAAAATATGTTTTTATCTCATTTCAATATATTTTGATATGTGCTTTCTTCCTCAATTTTTAGCTGCATAAAAGTAGCAAATAAAAATGTTTAGTTTTGTCCTCAGTCTTAATCTCATGCTCAAGCTGAATCTGATGCATGTATTAAGTTGTAGATTTTAATACTTAACTGTTATGAGCAAAAAAATACTGTTAAGATGCAATATTAAGAATTATGTAGTGTATATTCAGGGTGGCCACTCAAAACAGATTTCAAATTTCCCTGATTTTTCCAGGTAAAAATCTTAAAATTTCCAGGTTTGTTTTTTTCCTTTTTTTTATAAAGTGTAGGATGTGTACAAGAAAATTGTCTGTATTATAAAATATCTTGTTCAAAATGTCATTTTTTTAAACATATTTTGAAAAAATAATTTATTTTTTTACAAGATATTTTTTTATTATTTTTTAATGTTTTGGTACAACATTAATTTTTAAAAAAATAAGACGTGGAGAAAATAATATGTTTAGCTTGCAGAATATATTGTTTTTATTGAATAATTTTAATTGTTTTTATTGAATTTAATGTGTTACTTTAAGTAGTATTTGCTCAAAGTGTACCGACAAAATCAGAATAACCAATAAAACCTAGGATAAGTATTGTTTAGTATATTTTCATTAAGGAAAAGAAACCGTTTCAGGTGATTATATGTCAATAATTTTTAATAATTACAGTGGCTCCCAAAAGTGCTCACTCACTTATAACTTATATCGAAATAGGAAATAAAAATTCAATAATTAAAATGAATATTTCACAATGGGTGTTTGATAATAATATGTATAATCCATTCTTAGCAAAACTGAACGGAATATTTTAAAACCAAAGCAAAAGTTAATTTTTTAATCAAATAGTAACAAAAATGTTACCCCACGAAAGTCATCGTACATTGAAATGTTTTGGATCTCAGAATTAAAATTATCGTCAATTGCTTTTTTTATTTAATTATTTTTGATTTAATTTTTTATTTCTTTATTAGCAATTTAGTATCAAACCTATAATAGCAAAATTATATTTTAATTTTTGCTTGCTAACTCCGTAATATTTTATTTTATCATTTAAAAATGACTTGTGGTCGTAATAAAATAGACCAAATTTGATTATTTGTCTTCATAAGAGGTAAATCAGTAATGAATATGCTAAATTAGTTTACTGTATTCAATTGAACTGTGCAATATGTGATAAAATGTTTAAAAGAAGGACTTCATATCAGAGATTAAGATTATAAATTTTGTGGAAAAATTCATAAATTTACAATTGAGTGTTGTAAAAGTTTCTGTAAAAATTTTAAAAAAATATTCTGCACAAATTTCACCCGACAAAAAAAACTAAAAAAAACTAGTTACATGTATTTTCAACCTTTAAAAGCTATTGTAGATGCTAAAGGAAACTCCACTAAATGTTAATTTAACGAAAAATTAGATTTACTAATAGACTGAGTTTTTTCTTTAAAAGTGTATGATGACCTTTGTGGGATAAAGTTTTTGTCACTTTTTGATGATTGATTCCTTAAAAATAAACTTCTCTTTTGTTTTTAAAATATTTCAGTTTTGTTAAGATTCGAACACATTTTTTATCATTAAATATACATTCTGAAACATTCATTTTAATTAATGGATAGTCTTATTTTATTGAAAGTCATAAGTGTATCAACACTTTTGTGAATCACTGTAATTACATTTCAATATAAAGCTGTACTGCATACTGCATTATACTGTATTTCATCTTACCAGTGCTTTTTATAAAATTCAGTGATCATATTTTCCTTAAACCAATATCTCAAGTCAAATTTTTAAATAGTAATGGTATTTTGAAATAGCATTTTTATTTTAAGAGATTCAATATAAAAAAATAAATGTCAGAAATGTAAAATTGTCTAATTTTTAGTTCTATACTCTATAGAAGAAAAAAATAGTAAAAATTCCTTAAAATTTATACTTTTTTGATTTTTTTTCTTATTTGAAATTAAAACATTTAAAGAATTCCAATCTAAACACACAGTTTTTTAGTTTAGCATAGTTAATTGTTTTTGTTTGAACAACTGGAATCTTGTACAGTGCAGAACTAAAACACTAAGTTTCGTTTTCCTTCCCCTGACTAAACACATATGAATAAAAAAAATTATATTTTATGTATATACATCATTTAATATGTTTCCTATATATTCCTCAGTCATTGTCAGCTTTTTTAGGTAAAAAGAGGAATAGTTTTGAAGTATCATCTCTGGAATGCAAGCAACATTTACCAACTTTCGATATTGTGATAACTATACAATTCGAATTTTGAATCAAAAAACTAATATTTACCAACAAAACCATAAAATTTGATATTAATACATAGTTAGTTCTAAAAAAAACTTTTTTCAAAATAAAAATATACTATAAAAGGCTAAAATGAAATAGAAAAAATTAGCATTAATGCAAGAATTGTAACAATTTGTCGACAAACATTGCTGTTAGTGATGGGGGAAAATGCGTGATTGGTTGGTTTGCTGAGAAAAAATAATTTACAGATTTCTTTGAATGGGAGTTCAAAAGCTTTCAGAAAAAGAGTGCAATATAAAATCTATTATTATTAAATTATAACCAACTAATTTTTAGAGAATTTAATAAAGTTAAAAATACAAAAACATTTTGACTCATTTTGTCAAAATAGAAAAAAATTACCACTCTCAATTGCGAACAAACTTGAATCATTGTGTGAACACGGACAGAATTTAAAAACCGAATCCTAACCCCGTCTTCCACATCCACCATAATCTTTGCCTTTCCTAAATTGCACAGTCTGCATAGAGATCAAAGACATTTGCTTGGGAGAATTTTATGTTGTATTCTAGTTTAACAGGGTTATAATGGAGCAAATTTTGATGAAAGCAAAATAAGTTGATGATATTTTAACTGTTTGGAGATACATTTCCGACTAAAAAATGTGGGTATAATGGATTAAACAATTTAAATTAAGAAAATTAGCAAATAATTTAAATTAGTGAAATTAAAAAATATATAAGAAAAAATTTCCAGGTTTTTATCCATATTTCCCTGATTTTTCCAGTATAAAAAAAATTCCCTGATAATTCCAGGTGGGTGGCCACCCTGATATTGTAATATTAAGAAAGGGTGATAAGTAAGGCCCGGATTTTGATGACATTTGCATTTTTGGACATTTTTTGTCCTTTAGAGCATTTTTTGAGATTTATAGGGCATTTTCTTTAATTTTTGGGGCGTATTTTGCATTTTTTAAATTTTCTGTTAATTTTTTGTAATTTTTATTATTACACTGGCTTCCAAACAATGAAGAAAATCTCTAGGACATTAACAGGTGAAGCAACATCTTTTCAAATTGAAGAAGAATGGTCAGTAAGTGTGACCATCCTTTTCAAGTACGCACCAATAACATCAGTAGACGTTGAAAGAAGCTTCTCCTGGTATAAAAAATTGTTTTCAGACAAGAGACGCTCGTTAACATTTCAAAATATTAAAAAAAAAACTAATAATCCACTGTAATTCCGATATTTAGTAATATTATGAGATGGAAGTTGGTATATTCATTTAAGTTTCTATACAAAATGAAAATGTTTTAGAGTCAATATATTTTCCTTTTTTTTTGTTATTTTAGGATATAACATATTTTTCAAACTTTAATGAACGTAGAACAAGTATTGCATTGCTTTATATTTTTTAAAACGACTCATAATAATTTTAAAGAGTAAAACATTGTTTTAGTTCAATAATTTTACTTCTATTTAAGTCATGTCATAAGGCATTTTTAGCGCAATTTTCGCATTTTAAGGGCATTAATTGAGATTTTTTAGGTCATCAAAATCCGGGCTCTAGTGATAAGTATTATTGGGATAAAATTCCTTTAATTAAGTGATATTAATTAATTTACTAGCAAATACCATAATAACTTAGATAATTTTATGCTAATGAGTCTGATACCTGGATTTATTTATTTTAATAAAGATCATATCACATTTCTTCCTTCATAAAATTTCAACTATTTTCCTAGGCTCTTGCAAAATCATCAAGATTTTTCATTAAATGTCTATAGTCAGATTAAAGTATGACTATTCTCACTTTGAGTTTCAAATATTCACATATTGATACATTTATTTTTAAGATTCATTGTCCGGAATGCAGTACTGAAATTGGAAGCTTCTGTTGGAAAGGTGAGTTAAGATTTTTTTTTCTTGATTTGAATATTGATTTGTAAAAGGAACATTTCCTATTTTCTTCTTTAAAATTAGCTCCTCAAATACAAAACAAAAAAATTTCTCTATATAAATATTTTCTATACTAACATCCAAAAAGTTTTATTTGCTTTAATTTTTAAAATATCATGAAGTTTCCATTAATTATACAAATGATATCCAGATTCTCTAGAAAATTGTTTTAACACGTTCAATAACTTAAGGAAATTTTTATGAAAATCTACACAATTACTAACATTTGTTTGTTAACTTAGGAAAATACTTTTTAACCAATAGTTATTCATAACTGAAATCCTAAATGGTGTGTTCAAGTTTCTACTATTAAAAATGACACCAAATATTTTTTTTAGAATTGTTTCTATAATTACATGCTTATGAAATAAAGTTTTGCTTCTTATTGATTAAAATATATATTTAAATATATATGAAGTACTCTTTTGTCATTAGTAATATAGACATCACCTATTTTATCTAAAATCTGCAGCACCTTCGATTTTATAACTCATTCATCCTAAACTAAATTGATTAACTCAAAAGTATTTTGATTTGAACAAATAGTAATAGTTAAACATTTTGTGAAAACATAGTTTGTAATTGTTTTATTAATTCATTTGATAGTTCAGGGTTTTCTAAGGTTGAGAAACATTCATTTTAGGTTGAAATGTGTTCTGAATATGTTATTTATTTTTCATCCAGTGAATACAAAATTATCTACTTATATTCAGAAGTAGTAAGCACCTTATTATATACCTGATGATAATCTTTCCACTGAATATTTTAAAACGTTGAAATCCCAGCTTTCAGATCATATTATTTATTTCAATGTAAAATTAGTATAGGCTATATTAAATCTAAAACAAAGTTGATGTTACAATTACTAGCAATGTGTGAAACAAACTTGATTGCAGATTTAATATTTGTTGTGTTACTAAAGTGTTACACAGTATCAAAGATTTGCAACCAGAATTTTTTTTGTGTGTAATACTTATTATCAATATGTATAATAAATACTTATGCTCAAGAGTTAGAACAAATGAATGACTTGATTTTAAGTAAGTATAGTCATATAGAGTTAGTACAAATATTTATATTTGTAAAATTATTATACGTAATACAAAAAAATGTAAAAAAAAATTCTCAGTTACTAAGTGACATTTTTACAAAACAAATATTTGTTATCAAATTTGATTCATAGTACTGTAAAATTTTAACATCCTTTCTTTCTTTATATATTGGTTGCTGTATCTCGTTGTAGGTCAATTATGTTTTTGTGGTGCCACTATCTCTCCAAGCTTCAAAATGAATGAAAGCAAACTAGACAGAGAATTTTCCCATGTTCCAAATGTCATCAATGATCTCATAACACATCATGTTACTTAAATGTTGTTTTATGTTTTTAATTTATAAGTGTTTTTGTGCCTGCCTATTAAAGTTTTTAACTAAGTTTTAATGGTGCTTTTGTTTTATTTAGAAACTGACAAACATTTTCAAATGGTATTCTTTATTTTTTTTATGAAACAAATGTTGCTAAAACCGACTTTATTACATTTCTTCATAACACAGGATCATATTTTAAGATATTATGAGTGGAATGAATGAATTATGTAAATAATAATAAAAACTGCATAAGAGTCAGACAAGTTTTAAAACCTCTATAAAACTAGTGTAAATTACGACATAAAATTCATCTGTCTCATGAAAAATAGTAATAATTATTTCCTAGATATATATATGTATATATATTTATAGATAATCTACTTGTGAAACACATTTTCAGATATGAAAAGATCAATACTAAATTAAAAATAGAAAATATTTTTTATTTTGCAGAATAATGCAACAATTATAGTAACTTTTGATTTAATGTTTGGATTCACCACTAACAAGTTAATTTTTTATTATTTAATGGCCTGATGGGATTACATGGTTGAATATTTTTACCATAAATAGAAAATTATTCAAAAATATATTAAAAAAGTTTTCTTTTTAAAAGAAAAAAATTTCTATTTCTGATGAAATCCAAATAAACAAAACTTTTATCGTAAGTATTTTAGTTTTATTATTCATTTTCTACACAATAAACCATGTTTTTTCAAAATTTGGTTAATTTTTTTAATCCAATTTAATGCATAGATGAAACAAATACTAGACTTTTAATCTTAATCAAAAATTGGGATTTTTTGTTCACTATCAAATTTTGAAAAATACAAATTTGTCTTTCATATAATTGTGATTACTAAAACACTTAGTTTTTTTCCCCTTGAAAAATATTAAACTCCTTATGCCCCCAAAAATATTTTCACAAAGAATTATGGAAAATTCAAAATACTTTAATTCTTTGAGCCACAGTAATATAAGAATTTACTATATATATATTTTAAAATTTTTTAAAAACACTTATTCCACAGAGACAAGAACATTAAATACGTCTATAAACACCAACAGTTTCTCAGGAAAATACAAATAGAAGGCAGTATTCATTTGTGATTACTTCATTGATCAGTAACAAAATAATTTTTATGGATGTACAAATGAAATTGATCAAGACTTTATTTTTCCCCGACAACTTTGATGTAAAAAGAAAATAGAATAATTGTATAACCACAAACAGAATAAAACTACTAAAAATAACATGAATACATAAGAAATATTTGGTCAAAAAATAAACAAGTTTAGCAAGGCCAGAGTGAATCTCACATGTTATTAAAAAGTTTGGAATGCAACATTTGGTATTAAATTGAATTTATTTTACAAAAAATTTCCTAAACTTAAAATCTTTTTTTTTTTTTTTTAAAAAGTTTTGAACTTTATAGAGGCACTTAATATTTTCCTTTTAAATGTCTTAATTTTTTAAATACTAGTTATAACTTAGAATATTACCAAGTTTATTAAAAAGTTAAATGGAGCATTTTAAGAAGTAGTACAGTACAACATTAGTATGAAACTGAGATGCAATAATTCTTAAAACAATAAAAACTAATTTATGATTTTAAACACAACTAAAATTATATGCTTAATAATTTATGAAAAAACAAAACAAATTATGATTATCTAGGGTTCTAATAAAAAAGGTAGATATTAGTTATTTTTACACAAACTTAGTTAAATAATTAAAAAATTTTTGCTTGAAAAACCAGTGCTGTTTAAAACTGGGATAGCAAGTTTCTTCCAAAGTGGAAAAAACCACACAGGAAGAAGCTTAATAAAAAAAAAATCAAATATTTAAAATGTTTATTATTGCAATCAAGTTTAAATAATAGCATTAATTTTCAAAGATTTTAATATACTATTTTTAAAAAATTAAAACAAAAATACTGTGAAATTTCTTAAAAAGTTTAAATAAACTAATTTTTCAATATTTTTTGTTATTGGGTATAATAAAACCCAATTTTATAATTATAAGAACTGTTAAAATAACAGAATCCAATTTTATTAATACCACTGAATTAACTAAATCATACTGAACCAAACATATTGAATTCCAATATGTCAAAATAGCATACTAATAGCTTAACACTAGATTAAGCGACTGGCGACACTCGGTTTCATAATGTTGTCTCTGTTGAAAAGAAGAAGAAAATGGGAGGATTGCTACGAAATAAAAAGCGTTGTTACTTATTGGTTAGATATTCTTTTTAGGTTAACTGGTAGTTGAGTTTATAAATTTAAACTTTCTCAGTTAGAAAATAACTAACATCTACAAATTGAAAATTCAATTCAATGCAGTGAATCACGAAGGTATGCATAAATATTGAGTTGTAGATACAGTTTTATGAAATTTTCAAAGTCATTAAAATTACTAAGGTAGTAAACAGAAATAAAAACGAGTGTACTTCAAGTTAATTTAAAACATTTCACCAACAAATAAATCACCAGGTGAAAATCACAAATAATACTTGTATGTAACAGTATAATACTTCTTGACAATATAAATTTTCAATCATAACTAAATTTAGAATTGCACAAGTACAGGCTTCTTGTTCATGATTTTTAATGTAGAGCAAAACATTCATTGCCAAATTTTCCAGAACTGGCCCAGCTGCTTGTTTCATAATGATTCATAGAAGTCAATTCTTTAAAAACAATATCAAAGCAAAAAAATAATTTTAGAAAAAGCAGTTAATGAACACTTTGAGGGAATAAATGCACGAGAAATCAAGAGTGTTTACAAACCCCACTTTCAAGATGAACTAAGACTATCCCACTGAAGTAAATACTGAGTCTTACCATCAGGTCCAGTCCGTTTTGCTAACACCGTGAATTTTTCTCCGTTAGAAATGCGATCAGCCATCCCAAAATAACTGCTCACAGAGGAACTTAAATCAGAAGTGGTAGTCGAAGTATCAGCAGGTAACTGAACTTTGCTATTAGAAGGAGAGTCATTTAAAAGCCTGTTAATCACCGAGGCCGACGACCTAGTGGAAGTGAACTTTCGCGAAGGACATACTTTAACACAATTATTCCTATTTCTGAGCCTAGACCGACTTTTTGAACCAGTCACTGATGAAACGGACGATGTTGTTGATGGTAAAGCACTATTTGAAGAATAATTTTGCAAAAATGGATTGTTCACACCTTCAAAATCTGTAGGGTGAGGAATAATTGTGTTAAGAGTACCGTGAGATGAAGATGTGTCGTCACTTTCGGACAAATCAATAAGGATGGGTGAAGTGCGCGGTACCTTCCGCAAGCCATTAGGTTTATTTAGGCATCTGACTAACCGATGTGGCAGCTTTCTCCTCTCCTGTAACAAAATAAAAATAGCATTGTTGAAATTCAATTTGTCATAATATTCATAGAGATAAATAATACTTATAAATAGAGTGAATAATAGTAATAAAGTGATCTAAATTTTACTGATTAAACTCCTACCTTCTTTTTTGGCAGCAAAGTAGGTTTTTTGGATTTGTCTTCACTGCGACTTTGTGGCAGCGGTTTTTCATTTTTTCTCCTTGTTGGGTGAGGTTTTTCTTCGACTAAAGATGCTTTTTCCACCTTTTTTCTAACATGGTTCTTTTTTTCTTCTTCTTGATTGGAAGATATTTGGTTTTCACTTTTTCTACGGAAGGGATGATCTCGTTTTTGCAATACATTCAACGGGGGAGGAGTTGGCTTTTCTTCTTTAATTACTTCCCGATCTGGTTCAATGATTATCACATCGTCATCAAGTGATAATTTTCTAGCGCGCTTTGCAGGTGGCAAAGAAGAACTAAAAAAAAAATAAATAATAATTAAGAATGAATACATAATACTCTGCGAGGGCTGTTTTCAAATTATATAAATGTCTTAAAAGAACAAATATTAAAAATAAATTTAGGTATTGAGACCTAATAAGAAGTAAATGTCTATCTCTTAAAATTACAGCAAACTAATATTTTCAACAATTGCAATGTCCACTAAAATTTGGTGAATTTTTACATTGCCAACACGATCAATAGTTATTAAAACATAAACCTAAATTTTTTACAATGCGTTTCCTGTTATATTTTTTGAAAATTTTGTTGTTTTAGGTGCTATTTTGAAAAACAAAGTATGAAGTGACTACTTTTGACTCTGTTCCATGTACAGTAGAGAACCAATTATCCGGGATGCTCGGGACCATCGCTATCCCGGATGTCTGAATTTCACGGTTTTCTGGATTGACCAAAAAGGGTCGTTAATCGATGTTTTATCGAATCTGAATTACAAGGAAACAGTGTAATGCATAAAGTAAGAGAAAAAAAGAAAGGTACTCCTAACTTTAAAAAGAATAAAAAAATTTGCAAGTTTAGACGAGAAAAACAAGTTTAAAAAATACAAAATTCTTGTATTTATTTTTTAAAAATAATTACAATTCCTAAATTAACTAATATAAACAAAGCCAATGGTTAAATAATGCAATATATTTCATACCTAATAATACGGGGGAAACGATAAAATAAAAGGAAAACTTATTTATCTAAATAAAAACACTTGAAAATTATCGAACCGAAACAATAGTTAAATAAGTCACTAGCATAAATATTAAAACCCGGAACAAGGCAAGATCAACGGAATTTAAAAAAAAAAAATAATGATAAAATTTATGAATAAAAAGAATTAATTTATTGAGTGCGAAATTTATCGTGAAAAGAAAAAAAATCAAACATAGTGGAATCAGAAAAACAAAGCTGTAATCTGCTTCATAAAATAATCCTATGTTTAAATTAATAAACAATTCTTTTATTTTTTTTTGTTGATAAAAACACGATATTTAATTATAGCAGATGTGATTCCACATCAATAAAAACTTGCAAATGATACCACACTTCCAAAGAATGAGAATTTATTCAGAAGAAAAAGATTTTATTTTTATTAATCGATGTCAAATAGATAAATATATTTTTCTCTTTCATCTTCTGTTCACTGATATGCATGCAATGCATTTTCCCCACCCCCCTCGTAAATCAAACAGAAAACGAAATCAGCATGCCACACCCTTGAACTTGATTGACGGCCTGAAGGAGACTATAAAACATTCCTCCCTTCCCTGCCTTCAAGGTCGCGAAGGAAATGTTTCTCTGGGTAAACGGGGAAGAAAATTCTCCCCTTCCTTACATTTTCCTCTACTCGACTTCAAGGATGAGCTCAATTTCCGCTTTTTTTCATAATCGTTCGAGTTTAAAATGGCGGGAAAACCAATCATAATTTTTCCCGGTTTTCTGGTTATCTGGATACCGGATAAATGGTTCTCTACTGTATAAATAAATTAACAAATCACACTACTTCAATCAACTAACTTAAAGTAAGATAACGTCTATAAAGAGAGATTTTTATGTTCATTAAGCATAACTTTTGAAATTATGTTATTTAACAGTATATGTCAATAAAAAAATTAGATGTAGGACCTGTTTTCCCAATTCAATCTGAAATTGTTTTCTTTTGCCCAATCAATACTATACCTATATTTTTAAAATAAATCAACCCTCATTTCTTTTGAAGTTAGAATGATATCCACATTGTCTTTTCTACACTACACATCTAAGAAGAAGAAAGAGGAAAAGTATGCCAAATAAAAATAATTTAGTTTCATTACGAGACAAACATTATCTTTCGAACAAGCTTTCGATTCTATTTTGCTTTCATTTAAAATATAGTAAACACATCAATAGTAATGAGATAACCTTTTTTTCTATGAAACTTTCAATAACTGTCCAAATAAAATGGAATATGTTGTTCACATTCAATTCAATTTCTGTATTGTTCACAACAATTTCCATTGCAAATGCAATAAAACTTTTGAATAAGCTTTAAATAGAATAAAATTAAAGTTTTAAAAATACCAAGCAATTAAATAAATAAGTAAAATCACATTTAAGCAATAATTCGCAAACAATGCATTATGATCGAAATCAACATATTAATCATGTAACAAAAGAAGCATAAAATGATGTTATTAAAAAGTTTTTATCACTAAAACTATAAAAAACATAATAGTTTGCATACAATAAAATTTAAAACATAATTATATTTTTTATTCAGTAACTTAAATTACTTTTTAATTTATAATAAATTTTTGATTTTTTTTTTAACTTTTCAAATCTAAGGAGTTGAAACAAATTTTGTGGCTACTTAGCATTGCCGTTATAAAACTCTTACCCCCTTCTATAAATCTTTCCTTCATTTCAATAAAATTAACAGTTTTCAAAGTTATGGAACAAAAGAAAAATAATTAAATTGCACTTTGGGACTTATTCACAGTTTTTTATAATTGATTTTTTTAAAATTCAATTCCAGTTATAAACCCAGAAAATAGCAATCATAAAAAATTAATTATAATTGTTTACCCATTTGATTTTGTTTGGTGTGCTGAAGCTAGTTTCGACTGATGAACTGAAGTTAATTTTGGCTGTTGGACAGGAGTTAATTTTGATGGATGCATAGGAGATATTTTCGACTGGTGCACTGGGGTAAGTTTTGACTTCCTTGAACCATTAATAGAATCTAAGACTTCATTCGTAATTGTACCAGATTCTGGTAATGTAACAACTGGTGTTGGTGGCGGAATACGAGATCTCAAACCCCAGACAGTTGCTTTTCTTTTTATTTCTTTTCCAGATGTGAACCTTGGGAAGAAAAACTATCAATTTAATTCATATTCTATATTTAAAATGATGTTCAACAATTAGTTGCAGCTGTTTTATTTTATTTTCAAATATGCAGTAAATGAGAATCAAAGCTACCTAAAATAAAAAAGACTTAACAGTAGGGAAGGCAAATTTCTTCCAGAGTGGAAAAAAATCCTCCTGGAAGAAATGTTTCTTTCAAATAAAAAAAGAAGAAATTGAAGAAACTATTCCCTCCCAAAAAAAAAACCCAAACATTTAAACAGTTTAGAATTACAAACGAATTCAAATAATGAAATTAATTAAGCTTCATAATATATAATTTTTAAATAAGAGAAAACAAAAAAGACTATTGCAAAAAGTAAATAAATAACTAAATAAAAGTAATTAATTTCAGAAATTTCAAAAGGAAGTAAAATAACCATAGTTTCTCAACGTTTTATTGAAATAAGTATAGTAAAAACTAATTTTCTAATTGTGTAAAGAACAGTTAAAACACTCTAATCTAATCTTATCAATAGTATTAAATTAACAAATCACATACTAAACATTAACACTACTAAAAAAAATATACATTGAATTCACCACTATAAAAAGCATTTTTATAGCCAAATATTGTTAAGTATAAATACTTAAACCAAACTTTTCAATAATATATGTAGTTTTTCTTTAAACAAAATTTCTGTATTAAACTAAAAACAATTACTTTAAAATTAAGTAACAATTTTAAAGTAATTACATAATATTTTTTAAAGTAAATGTGAAAATCTTTTAAACTTCTGGTTTAAATTTAAGCCATTCTTATAATAACTTATCACTAAACAATTGCATTGACAAGGGTCTGTCTAGGTTTTTCTGAGAGGTACCTATTTTGTGAAAATTTAGACATTATTTGTGAAAAATTAAAAATCATATTTAAAAATCAACACAAAAATATGGTAAAAATATGGATTTATCGTTTCTTAAGGGATACAAAAATAAAATTGTAAGAAAAAGTACTTTGTGAAACTACTGTTTTTCCTAAAATTAAATTTGTGAAGGTACCGCTAAACGGTAGTAAATTCGGCCTGGGCTGACCCCTGATTGATCATTCTCTTATTGGGTCAAGTTTTTTTTTTTTTTTTTTACAACTACTTCTGGATTAAATGCAAACCACACTTAGCGGATATTATTATGATGGATAGCTTTCTATTATAAAGGTTTCAACATTTAACATTTGATTTTACAAGTGTTTTTTGCAAATTTAATCACTCTGTCAGAATAATAATTTCCCCCCCTTACTTTCAGCAGAATATAATAATCAATGATTAGCATTCATGCCAGCACGACGACAATTATTCTACAAATGTCGATAAAATTATATGGATAAGGGAAAGATTTGTCGCCCTAAAATATGTTTGAAATCTAGTAAGTAGTAAGGAAAAAAAAAATTTTTTTGTATGAAATTCTGTGCATTCTGTTAAAAAAAATTGTATTAATTTTGTTATTCTACTCGTGGTATGAAATTCAAATAGAATAACTGAAAGTTTGATATAAAATTTTTTAAATTACATGTTGCGATTTGCATTATTGCACTAACAGTATGTCGGTTGATCAGTAAAACTTTCTCATTTGGAATTGACTTTATTTAAAAAATTTTAGATGCATAACTGTTAATACAATATTTTGCTAGCTTTTACTTTTTCTATTTTCCTCATTTATTTGGTCTCCTTTATCTATATTGTATTTAATATCTGTATTGATACTAATTGTTAATATCATTTAAGTTTTTTCCCCACTTAATTTTAATAAATACTAATCTTCAATCATTATGGGGCAATGAACCTAATTAGTTTTAAGATGTTATTGATCGTAATTAGTATTTTTTTATATGTACCAGAACATAAATTGTGTAATTATAGAGTTCTTTTTTTTCTAGTTTATCTACCATCATAAGTTTTTGGACAACTAAATGAATACCTAAATAGTCCTGTTGCACCACTATATTTTTATTGCTGGTGTGTACCCTAGCAATGATATAGAAAAACAAAACAAATTACCTGCTTTTACAATTTGTTAAAGCTTCTAATAACTTTTTCTTTTTCTCCTCTACTGGCATTCTTGACATAACCTGTGTAATGAAATATTATACTTTAGAATATAACTCCAATTTAAAAGAGATTCATCTAGAACAATTTGTATTTCCATAGCTAGTATTAATTGAATTTCAATTATTTTTTTTTCCTCTTCCTAATTTTCTACGGAAGAATTTAGTATAAGTTTAAAAAAAATAAAATAAAATTATAAATGAAATATGCCGAATAACCAGGAATTCAAATCAACAAAATAAGAAACATTATTAACTTCAGGATGCATGTTAAACTACAGAGGAGCCAACTTTTCAATCTAGCTCAGTAATCAGAAGTACAATAACAAAGAAATATATACAGTTAGCAGTTTCAAAATTCAATAAGGAATAATTTTGAGGTGTACATACTTATTAATTTTATGTAGGCATAAAATATTAATAAAATAATTGATAAATTAATTATTATACAACAGGGAAATTCCACACTTCATTATAAAATTAAATTGATTTACTTATAATCAATGTTCTAGTTTTTGGTTAAATTTGAAATAGCCTATTTATCATCCAGCATTCGAACTACTAATTGATTTGAGTTTATGTTTTTTTTAATTTTCTATATGGAGAGAAAATTAAATTTCAGAATAGCTTGTTAGAAGGGGGGAAATGAGATTTTTTCCAATTCTTGTTTCTATCAAAATGGTTTCTATTTTTCAATTGTTATTTTTTTCAAATTGTTTAAGGCAAAAAAAAAAATATATATNATTGTTTATTGTTGATTAATTGCAAACAACAAAATTTCACAACTCTTGATAGTTAAAAGGAAAAAAGGTTTTAGACAGAACATTATAGTAATTCTCACAAATTGTAATTTTTATTATTGAACCGTAAGACTGTCATTGTGATAAAGAAATTACAATAATTATTGATAAATCCTAATGGCAGGCACCTCTGTAAAATATGATGTGTAATTTAAAAAATTTAGTGGGGCAATTCTCATAAATTCTAATTTTAGTGAGGAAAAAAATGCACTAGTTTACTCTTCCTTAGAAAAACAGCCATGTCTGCATAATAGGACAAACATTTTTCTCAGGTAAATCTCAGGTTTTCTAGTCCCTTAAACCAGCATTTCTAAACCTACACATCTCACAAATCAGGAAGGTTGCAAGAGTAACATACATATAAATTTAAAAGAACATGCATTTTACTTGAACCAAAACAAAAACATATATTTTAGAGAAATTACATGAATGTTAATGTTGCATTACCGATTGCATTTTGCCTTCATATATATACATAATTAATGTATTCGTCTGTATTCATAGAAAATGGAATGTTTTCAATGCGCAGAATTAGAAATATCAAGGCAAAATGTAAAAAAATCAAGACAAATAAGAATAAAATATTTATTATTAGTTAAATCAGGACAACTAAGAGCCTTGCATTTCGGAAAATTTTTATTCTTAACAAAGAACATTGTAGCATTTATAAAAAATATAATTAATTTGACTGTGAGGTCTTTTGAAAGGAATACAATAACAAAAGTAATTAAAATTTACATGCTACTTACCTCTCCCTTTATTTGAAATTGAGACCAATTATCCTTTAAAAAAGCCATAATTTTGGTATCAAATTCAAAAAATTTCTTGCCATGTATAACAGTTAAATTGAAAAGGACTAGATGAGCAATATCTGGCCTATAAGGAAAAAAAAGAAAATAGTTAAGTCATAATATTTGAGTTGTAAATTTAATTAGAAATAAGCTGACAATATCATAAAGTAATGCAAGTAATTAAAAAGTTACCTGATATAAAAAAAAACTTATAAAAGGACAAAGATTAACCCTTAAAAATAATTGTAACCATTTTTTAAAATTAACTCATTTATAGAACATTAGTTTATAAATGTTAACTACTTACATTAATATTAAGAATACTGAGCCATAATTAAAAATATTTTTAAATTATATACTTGGGTTTGTCTATAATTTAGTTAAAATTCTTTATAGAAACAAGGTGAATACATTAAACTTTATATAATAGAATTGTAAGCTTACCATCGCAGTGGTAAACGTCTAAGGAACTCTGGTCCTTTATTGCACAAAGAACATATAAAAATGTAGTATCTGTCACCAAAAAGCAATGGTTCATCCAAACATTGAAGGCAAGCTGCAATAGAAAACATAATTCGGTGACTTAACATGCAATAGATGCTATAGTAAAGCAAAATTTAGTTAATAAATATTTTACAAAAATAAAAAGAACAAAAAACTAATATACTGAATATTATGACATTCATACACTAATAAAACAGAACAAGGTAAAATAATTATCCATATTTGAACTTTTATTTTTAACAGTTTGCATTAAAATAATTCTAGCTACTCTTATAAAATAAAACAGGATAAATATAGCAATAAAATAAAAAAAAGGCAAACAAAAACAATTAAAATTTTCATATAAAAATTAAAGATTCAGAGATAAAATAATCATCAAAATATGAAGTTGTGTTTTTAACAAATTATTTACATAGTAAATTATTATTATTTCAGTACTATTAATTATTTATACCAGTAAAAGATTTATTTATATGTTTCTCACTATAATTTAACTACATTATCATTCTAAATATATTGATTCATATTTGCTAACAAGTAAAGGAAAATGTCCCATATATTTTACAGAATCATATAAATTTTATGCTAACTATAATGCAATATTTAAAAGTTTAAGCTGGAAATTCAAAGGATTTTTATAAAGCCAATAGATTATAAAAAAAATTTAATAATTATTTTTGCTGAGGTTTTGAATATATTATTTTGAAAAAGAAATAGATATTGAATTCCCTTCAGATAGTTATAAACACATATAGGAATAGATACAACGTCTTAAAAGGCCCAAGAGATTTACATTATCATAATTCAAAATTTATTTTTAATCCCTATCACGCAATTCTAATCATAACAATACTAATGAACCCAAACTTTATAATTATGAACGTGCAAAAAATAATTTTTCTTCCTTACTCCAATATCAGTTTTGATAATGATCCAGTTCTTAACCAGTCACTACACTTAATGAGAACAAACATTCAAATATACATGATATGTTGACTAAATTATATTTACAAAAATTTAAATGTTGAACAATTGGTTCAACAATCGTATGTGTGATCACTTAATTGCATGAATACGAATAATGAAGTTCGATTTTTAAAATCACAATAATTGAGTTTTTTAAATTATGTGGACACTCCAGTTAATCTTAAAAAAGTGTTCCCAAAATGTAAGAAAAGCATGGTGTGCATTTATATTATCTAACTCTGGATGGGGGCTTTTTCAGTTTTGATCACTGGTCAATATTCTCATGAAACTATGAGTGGGGGGCCTAATCGAATATGGTGGCTTATTTGGTATTTTACAGTACCTTTAAAATAGTTATTATAAATTATCCACATTTAAAAGATATACAAATTATGTATCAATACAAAAGCTGTTTCGTTTTAAAACAATTTAATTTTTCATACTGTAACTTATACAATGTCAGGAAAAAAAAGTATACCTTCATGAAACCACTGCTTGCACCTGAGGCACTGAAGCATTTTAGAATACCATCTGAAAAATAATAAATATTTGATTTCAGTTAAAGAAAAAATGATTTTATTCTTAAGTATACATTAGTTGCATTCAATTTGGTCATATTTGACCTTTTTGATGTAGGTGTTTTCCAATTAAATTATCAAGTATACTTACTCTCCTGGACCACCACAGTAACAATAAGTCTGTTGCAAGTTTGATCGGTGAGATGTATCCCAAGTCAAGGCCTGAGGCTAAATTTAAAAAAAAAAAAAGAAACTAGTTTTAAAAATATATTTAAAAAAGACAATAACAAAAAAGTCAAATATTAAAGATTTATAATGTAGTCTTTTCATTATTTTCGAAGTTAATAAATTGAACTTTTATGCAAAAAAAAGAAATAAAAGTACAACCGCCTTTGAGTTTTTAAAGTTTACATATTACTAATAAACTATTATATACTAAAACTATTACAATTCCAAAAAAGTCAAATGGTTTGTATTCAAAGAAAAATGTCGACAAAGAATGACATACTGCGCTTAAAAGTTCTTTGCACTAAAAACTGAGTTACAAATTTCCCAAGACCAAGCGTGAAATGTTTTTGGATATAAGAAATTTAGATTTTAGAACTTTGACTTCCATTCAGCAAATTATTTAATTCAAATGATTACAACTAGTGATTAAAATTCTGATTTCAATAACTTGATTTTGTTTAAAAAAATTTTTGATTTGATTAAAATAAAAATCAACAATTGGTTAGTTTTTCTTTTCTAGAAATTTGCAGTGATGAGCCAAAAATATATAACTATTTTTTAAGTATTAAAATAATTTTAAATTCTTTAAACAAGTTTAAATAACATTTTCATAGGCACTGACTATTTATAAATAAACAAAATGCTAAAAATTATTTTAAAGTATATTACAAATATAAGTGATAAGATTGTAAATGTATAAACGTAAATTTATATATTTTTGAAATGTGTACTATGTTTATAAATGAATATATGTATATTTTTCATATACCTTTGCATTTTAGTTAGATGTTATGTACTTAGTAGTAATTTTTTGATGAACTACTAATACTAATAAAATTTTTTGTGCTATTTGTTTATTCTTAACAACATTGGTGCATAAAGAGTATAAAAAAAACTAATTAATTTTATCTACATTGTTACAAGTGAAACAATCATTAGCTTCAAATTTGTAGCTTAATATCCTAGGGTTTTTATAATTGCACCAATTATATCAATTGTATCTATTAAAATATAAATTATATCAATCTAACATTAATGAGTCTATTACTTTTTTTCTACTGCAACACATTTCGTTTAACAACATAAATCTGCAGATATTCTTTATTGAATTGTATAGACATATTTCTTTTAATAAACTGAGGAAAGCAAAATATGAAATCTTTAGACTTAAAAATAAAGCAAGGAGGAAAATTTGAGGGGAAAAAAAATCAACTGGCAGAGGAAGGAATTATATTTGATTTGAATTATATTTGAGTTTTATTCTCAATAACTACCTACATAGAAGAATGAACCAATTTATAATTTTAAAAAAATTATCTCAACTGTAACAAGCATTTAACTACAGTATTAAATTAGTCAAATTTGAACACATATTACATATTTTTACCTCATATGGCAGTGTTTGCTTCATTATAGCCAGGGCTTGAGCTGAAATAAATATAAAAAAAGAAATTTATAACAAATTCCTTCCAAAATTACTTTTTATTTATTCAGTAAAGTAATAAATCCTCCCTAGGAAAAAACAGCTAGTACAAATGAACTACATAAGAGGCAATGTTTTAAAAATTCTTAGAAACCAACTTAACTTTTAAGTACCAACTTATCTTATGGTAGTTCTTTACCAAAAGTTACATGGTTAAGAGCTTTAATTCATGAAGCTTTCATTTCATGTTAGTGAATCAGGTATATCCAATGGCTTACCAGTATCCTCTTTAGCCAAAATATCTGCTGTCTCATTGCTATGGATATCAAAGTGGGACATTATCCATTAGAAGCGCACCTCACAAAAGGATGAAAAATGCTCCAGTTAGTTAATAATTGTCTTTCCTGTACTATCACACACTTTATGCCAAGTTAGAAAAGTGCTGAATAGAGCTTCGGCTGTCAGACAGGACCCATACTGCAGGCGAGCCGGGAGAAGACGGAATCGAATCAAGCCTAACATCAATGGTAATCAGCTAACTCCTGAACAACAGTCTGGATTTCTCCTTCTCAATTTTGTTGTACATTTTTAGGATAAGATATAAATTCCACAGCCAGATCAGTCACGTTCTTCTTTACTTCCGTCTGTATATATTATGATGAAATCCCCAAGGATGTATATAGAAATTTTTCTAATTAATATCAGATTACCAATTTATTGCATTTCACTTGTGTCAAATTTCTAATTCTGGTCTAAATTTTTAACTCAGTTTTGTTCAATTAAAAAAAATGCTTTTTTTAAAACCAGATCTGCATTTTTACCCTAAATAAGTATAAAGAGTTTTTAGTATCAAATTTTTATTTACCTGTAACAAACCCAGATTTGTAGGCTTAAACATGTAGTTTTTGGTACACTTTACATTGATCAGCATCTACCAAAGGTTTATTGTTACAGTCAAACCCCGCTATAGTGAACCTTCAAGGGACCGAAATTTTGGTTCACTATAACCGGGAGTTCACTATATCCGTTCCGCAGGCAATTTAACTAATGGTTCCCACACTCCTCCCTTTTATTACACGTTATTCAAATAAATGACTGAAAAATATTATAGTAGCGAAAAATGTGTTATTTTTCATTACTCTTCGTCTTGCCTACAAAAAAAAAAAAAAAAAACATTTAGTAATCTTTAGCTGATGAACAATCCTGACAGAAAATCCACATTGATCCCACTGATACCTTACAGGTGCACTATCTGCCAGCAGGGTTGGAAATATCTGCTTGGTTTGTTTAAGATGGGAAAGTGAGATAAAAGAAGCTTATCGCTAAATTCCCCTTTATACAAGGTTTTAAAAATCGGTATATGTATTTATTTTAAAGTAAAAATTTCAAAATTATTACAAAAAAATGAAGAAAAAAATCAGTTGAAGACAGAAAAAAGTTCATTATATCTAACTTCCTCACTTTTTTGGTTCACTATTACCACAAAAAATAACATTATGCGTGTATAGCAAGGCACGGGACCTAACATTTCGTTCACTATATCCGGGAGTTCACTATAAACCGTGTTCACTATAGCGGGGTTTGACTGTATTATTATTTGTTGCTATAAATTTAAGCATTTATCCCAGGCAATACAGAAGCACTTTGTTGTGATAATTCTTAGTCATTTAATTTTTAAAATTATCAAAGGTAAAATAAAATTGAAATATAAGGACATCATCATAATTTTAGGAAAATAGGTGCAATATTGAATGCATGCAAACATAAATATATCAGAGAGATTTATACATTAAGGAAAATAATATTTGAGTATGTTGTAAATGTTTAAGATAATTCATGGCCATTACTTTTTGAAATACAGAGTTATGTAATAATCTCATATTTTAGTTTTAAATTTATTTTTCAGGTAACTGAAAAATATACATATATAAAACTTGTAAGATTTTTTTTCTAGCTTTGAAATCGGCAATTCTCACCCATTGCTGTACTGTAATAAACATAATTAAAAACATATAGTGTTCATCAATGACTAATGAACATCTTAAAATCTTTGATTGCTTTCAACTTCAGCCCTGTCACTAAATACCAAAGAATTGGTAAAATTTAAAACAAAGTGTTGTCCATGTAAGTTTTATCTGTTATTATTTGTACCTGTAAAATTGTTTTAATTTAAAAAAAAAATTTTTTTTAAATGAATTTTATTGTTTTTTGTAAAATCATCTTATTCTAATTTTATTTTTATTGTAATACAACTAAAAATTTAGTAGTAAAATGAACACTTGCTTTTTGTCTGCAAAGTGACTAAAATTTTGTATGTAATGTACATGATGAGCAATGCAAAATAAAATTATAGCAAAATTTGTGGCATTGGGTATTCTATAAAAGATAATTTTGATTTTAGAAAAATACAAGACAGTAAAATTTTTACGAGCCACAGTAGCAGAAAAGTAGCCAGAGTAATATTAAAACAAAATTTAATACATTATAAAGTAAAATAGGAAACATTCATAACATACCATTAGGTCCTTTTTTAGAAGCACCACCTTTCTGCAAAGCAAAATATTTAAATGATAATCCAGATAAATTTTCTTAAAAATTGCATTATATTACTGTAATAAAAACAACTCCATAGTAATGCTTCTTTAAAATAAAAATAAATTATAATATTTATCTATGAATTTACTTAACTCAACATTACTATGAATTGAAACTAATGGGGAGGGGATATTTTTTATTTGAACGAAAGTAAATATGAGATTTCATAAAGCTACCATAAAACTATTATGTTTGTTCATAACTTAAAACAAATGTTTACACCTATGATAATTTTTTAAATGTCTTTGTTATTTGCAACTAAAAACAAATATATATTGCTATTCCTGATATCAAATGACACTTTTGATTTTAACACACATTTTGATTGATACATTGTAATTAATATAAGAACAGAGATTTTTAATAATGACATCTATATCAGACTGTATTCTTGTAAAGAAGTAAAATTTCATCTTATTTTTATTGTTGATAAGTTAAATTAAAAGAAGGGTTGAAAAGCAGCTGAACTTAAAAAATTCCTCAGTTTAGGAACACAATATATCAATCAAATTATCCAAAACAATTGATACTTTACCTTTGCTGCATGTACAAATACACATTTTCTACAACTCCAAGGAATTTCTGGATTTAAATCAGCTGTACTAATTTTAGGAATGTGACACAGTTGATGATAACCTAAAGATAAAAACACATATAATATATTCATATAAAATTCATTACCTATCATGTTTACTGGTTTTTAAAAAAATTAAACTAGTTCACACAAAACAAAATACTAGAATAACTGTTACTGATATTAATTGCATAAAATAAGTCAGATGAGTCAGCTAATAAATCAGATGAAGTTATGCTGCACTAAACTAACGCTAAAAATATATATGATAAAACTTTCAAAGAAAAAAATAGCTTTTTGTGGGTATTAAAACGAGGAAGGAAAAAAACTTGCTTTTTACTAAATAAACTATGAAGAACATAGAAATAACAAGAAAATTCTATATTATATTTATATTTTAAAACAAACGTAATAAAATTAATGGACATTAAAATAAATGGACATTTAAAACAATCGGACAATTAAAAAGAAACAGACATTTAAAGATAAACAATACTTATTTTTTGTAAAGATGCAGCATTATAAATAATTTATTTAAGCAGGTTAAAAACTACTTTGGAATTGACAATTGTAAAAAAGAATTTTGATTTAATTTTGGCATAATTTTATAGTTTGGAATATCAAGAATTAAAACTGAGTAACATTTTTTAGTTATGTTCTAAATTACTGCTTTTTAAAACAAAATATTTATCAAAAATATATTAACAACAAATTGAACAAGTAGTTATTTTAAAATATATACTTAATGTTTTGCTTAATATAGTCTTACTTGGTTCACGGAGAAAAAAAATAAAGTAAAACATAATTTTAAATAAAATGGTATAAATTTATTTAAATGATTATCTAAGAAAATATTAAATATGAAAGTTTAAACAATTGATAAATATTTGATATTTCCTTTTGAAATAGTTTCTTTCACTTCATATATAAGTAACCTATCTCTTTTGGGACTGCTTTTTCGTCTGTTGAAAAAACTTGTCACCTCTATTCACCTTCCAAAAAATTATTGTCATACACCTTAAAAAGCTAAAAACAATGATATTTGGAAATGTATCAAGTTCAAAAAAGCTTAAAAAACATAAAACTCTTAAAACTATCATCCAAAAAATTGTAGCACAATCTCAATTATTCAATGCATTATTTATCTTCTGCTATACCTGACAGAAAAATACTCACCTACAGAACATTTATCACATATGACTATTTCATCTGGGGGCTGAGAAGATGCACTGTCACAAACAGTACAAGCAAATTCATTATCTGGTAAAGGACCTATTAAAAATAAAAACAAGAAAAAAAATGTTTTGGAGATCAGTACACAGATTACAAGAGTTTTCAGATTGAAGTACAGTATTAACAAACAAAAAAAAAAAACTTAATATTAATTAATATACAATATATTACAACAATAACATTATTAAATTACAAATGAGAAGGGAAAAAAAAAGTTTGTGAATATATTATAAGTTTTTATTTTATTTTAGCAATCAAAACTCTTCCTGCAATTTAACTAAAATTATAATCCACAAAAACTACAAAGCAATCTGTAGTGTTTGATATTTCTCTTCAAGAATGCTCTACAAATTTTGGTAAACAATATTGAATTAAAAACAGATAATTAGAATTAATCTCAGTATACGTAACATGGTGAATTTGGTAACATTGGTGATGTTTGGGAGGGCAATAAAATTTACAATATGTATTAGATGTATATGGAATTACCAAAGAAACAAATTTATTGAAGGCAAGATTGTACTGGAGGTGATATTTGATGTTATGATGTATATGACAGTTTGGTAATTGTACATATTGCAAAAATGACAAGATTGTATAGAAGATGGATATGTGACGTATTTGATAAGATGGGAGGAGAAGAGTATTGACGTAATGAATATATTCTTGGTGTTTCGTCTTTTTATGCAACATTTTCTGCAGAAATATAATGATTAAATTTTGGTTTTAAAGTTTAAATTTTGTGTGATGTATTTTTTTTCTGGAATAAATGTTATGGTAGGTGTTATTTTGAATTAAAAAATTTTATAAAGTAGATTTGTAAGTGAAAAGAGTTAATATGATTGTAGAAACAATTTTTACTGTTCTGCATTTGCTAAAACAATGATTAAAGATAGGTATAATTACACAGTAATTTGAAGAAATAGGATATACGTTTTAAACAGGGTTGGGGTTTTGGACGTCCTAAACTGGTTTTGGACAGGACACGTGGATTTTACTGTCTTAAACTGGGTAAAACTGTCCTAAATAGGGTAAAACTGTCCTAAACTGGGTAAAACTGTCCTAAACTGTCTTAAAGTGTCCAAAACCTTGAACTTTGGTAAAAGGTAAAAATTCTGTAGGTGTAACTATTGTACGCATAATAATTACATGTATCAATAAATATTTGATATTTTTTATACAATTTACTATAACTTATNCTGTCCTAAACTGTCTTAAAGTGTCCAAAACCTTGAACTTTGGGTAAAAGGTAAAAATTCTGTAGGTGTAACCATTGTACACATAATAATTACATGTATCAATAAATATTTGATATTTTTTATACAATTTACTATAACTTATTAAAAGAAAATAATATAATATAATGCAAAAAGGTTTATAATTTTTGAAGCTCCACAATTCATAGAACAACAAAAGTGAATACCTAATCCTTTAAATATAAATATGCTTTTAATACTGATAAGTAATATTTTGGCATAAGGATAAATATGGCAATATTAAAAAATAATAAATTTTCTTAAAAAAAATACTAAATTTGTTCAAAAATTAACCTTTTATTTTTCACAATATTTTTTTAAAAATTTTTTATAATTTCTGCATTACAGGATGATAAAAAAGACATTTATTTTTAAAAAAAATTATTTTTAAATATAAATATATTAGTTTAAATTGAAAATACAAAATAACTGAAAAATGTATTAACAGTTTTGAAGGGCATAACACCAGTTTCAATTACTGTCACTGGTGATGTATCACCACTATGATAAAGAATTGAACATGAATGAAATAAAAGTATCCTTGAATAGTACTATAGATAAATAAACCTGTTTCCCTAATATTTTAACCTGTATGGCAAGGCCAAACTTCAGTTATGCACTATTGAATAAGAGGACCAATTGAACTTGATTACTGATTAATCTTCCTTTTGCTTAAATTGAAGAGTCAAACAATATTAATAAAACATTATACTTTTAAAAACAAATATTCTCTAATATATTTAATTATCAATATGTTATTAGTTCTATGTTTATTTTACCTCTTAAATATTGTTCAGATAAAATTGTGACATAATTTGAGTAAAAATTTAAACCGTGGATTAATCCATCTGTCCTAAACCTTGCCAACCCTGGTTTTAAAAGGTAAGTAAGTAACTTTAAAGTGTTTATTATTGTATCTTTTTTTATATACCTGTTGAAGGTCATTAAATAATAGTTTTGTATCTATATAATGCTATATGCTGAGTTTTTAAAGTTTTGCTCTTTTTGTGCAGCTGCCCAGTATACATTAGCCAAGCATGTTTTCGCAACAAATAATGATTCAGCGTTTGTGCCAAGCTTGTAAAGTATACTAGAATTTTACAAATAATTCAAGGTAAAAACCTTTGAGTTCCAAACTGCAAGCTGAAATCTTTAGAAACAGTTTCATCCAATTACTTGTTTTTCGTCATCTAGTACAGAATCACCAACCTCTACCAAACCACATACAAATCAAGAAGGGCAGATTATTTGGGACATAATTTAATATTTCTTCTCTTTAATATTTAATATACTCATTAATATTTTTTCTCTTTAGAGTTAATGAAAGAAACAGAATATGAATATTTGAAGTAAAAATATTTTTCTAGGAAAAAAATTACTAATAATAATATCTTAAAACTACTATATACACAAAACATAGTAATGTAATAGTAACCTTGATATCCGATAGTTATTAATAATGTAATATATATGTATNTATATATATATATTATTAATTATAAAAAATGTGATGTTAGAAAATTCCTTAACATTTTACCTTTATATATATCTTTGTATAAAGCCCAAAACTGAGATCCATCTTCAAATTTGACAGCACACCTGCTGTATTCATCCTCAACCTGGGAATAAAAAGTATTTATAACAGTAACCAAAAGATGTTAAAATTAGAAAATACAATTGAAGAGATTATTTAATTAAAAAATGAAAGCCTTAAATTAAGAATAGTAGTTAAAAAAAAAAGGTTATTAAATAAAACATTTCCATAATTAGCTACTCTAAATATCATAGCTACAATTCTATTCATTAATATAACAGCTCAAAATGGCTATAATAAAATCTGAAACTGCTATGTGTAATGAGAAATAATACATAAATTTATCCAATAAAATGAATTATATAGTTTTGAAGCTCAATCCCAATAGAAAATAAAAAGTTAAGATTTACCTGATCCTTCTTACATTTAAAATTTTCACACCTTTGGAGTTAAGACACATTTAAAAATGGAAAAAGATGATAAAATCAATTGAAATCATATTTTTGTATCAGGTAAAAAAAAAAGAACAAATTTATTAGCAATATTATAATTTGTTATGCTGTTGGTGTTTTCCTGTTGGTAGGCTACATAATAATCCAAAGTCTTTTTGTAAACAAAAGCTGGTTTAGTTCGTTTAATTAGATTTTTTCCCCTTCCATATTGCTTTTTGAAAAAGTTAAAAGTGTTTGCTGTAAAAATTATGTGTAAAATTTCTTTCTTTTCCTTTTTTTTTATTAATAAGTGTATGCATTTGTTTATGCTTATTTCAAAAACAAACATACCAAACATTTAAAGAAAACAACAAACAGAAGATAACAATTATTATTTTAGCGTTACAAAAATATGATTTATTTAGGAAAAAATTAATGGATAGCTGGAAATTGCTAAAAATATAATTTTGCCAGGAAAAAGATTAGTGGAACGTCGGTAGATTTTGTTAGAAAAAAGATTAGTGGAAAGTTGGTAATTGCTAAAAATATGATTTTGTTAAAAAAAAAGATTAGTGGAAAGTTGGTAATTGCTAAAAATATGATCTTGTTTAGGAAAAAGACTAGTGAAAAGTTAATAATTGCTAAAAATATGATTTTGTTATGAAAAAAATTAGTGGAAAGTTGTTAATTGCTTAACACTTTGTTGTACATTTAATGGAAAATATTCAATGTTTGACTTTATCTAGTGAGCTTTGGCATTGAACAAAATTTGTAAAGATTTTGTGAAATTATGGTTGAAGCTCACAAAATAAAAGGCAAACTAATTTCCAGATTTTCAAAAAATTTTTCTGAAAGTTGTCTTCCTTTAGCTAATTTTACTGAAATATTATTTGGTTCACTACTACTGTTCTACTTTAAAAATTAATATATCTAATAAATGGATAAAAGCAATTTAAATTTACTTGTATTATAGTTGCTAAGTATAGCAATCCATCAGTCCATCTCACTAAAACATCAGACGACTCACGAAATTTTTCTTTCATTGGAGCTTCATAAATAGAAGATTTCTCGGTGTAGACTGAAAAATCTTGTGGACCTTTTCGTGCATAACACCAATAATCTTCTTGGGTTTCTTTAAGAAGGCACAAACTTTCAGGTCTAAACTCTTTTAGTGGATTGTTCATCTTCTTCCTATAGCGCTGATTGAAACAGTTGCATAATCATCATTATTAGAAACAGTTCACTGGCAGTGAGTAGCTCTATTTAAAAAAAAAAAGAAACGAAAAAACATTTAACTTAAAGAAAATACCACTGTAACAAGAACTCAATTATGACGAAAATTTAAAATTTTGTGCTGATTTTAGATGCAGGTACAACACGTTTAACAGACAAGTTCAAAACTCTTGGGGTACAGCACTTGGTGATGCAGGTACCAACACGCCCCATAGTAAAGTGTAACACAAGCCACAGAAAAAGCACTTTTTCTGCAGAACAATGAAATATATAAAAAAACTTTAAAAAAAAAAAAAAAAAGAAGCATGAAGATTATTTTCTAAAACAGCCTTAATTTCGTCGAGGCAAGTTAAAATACTAGTCTGGGATGTCATAGATCGTAATGTCTCTTTTATAGTTATATCTCTTTTACTAGTTTTTTATTATTAAATGTTAAAGCCAATTCCGGGTGATATTTGCAATATTTTCCCCCATTACAGATTTCTGGCGATTAACTAGTTTTTGAATAATAAAAATTAATAAGATGAGAATACATTCTTTATAAAAAGCATTTTCTTTATATTTTGTTTATGCATACTTTTTTTGAATATTTTGTCTATCTCTGCTTATTGAATAATTCATATTATAATTTCCATCCTTTTACTTTGAGCAGGCTAACATTTTCTTGTGCTTTAAAAAGTTAAATCCTATCTTTCTTCCGTTCAGAATGGATTTCTTTCCCCCATTTTTAATTTCATCAGCTCTTTTCCCCCAATCTGTTTTGCAATCTCATATGCCAATGTCTATTTTATATTGAATAAAATTTTCTGAAATGTTACCTTATTATATTATCATCTACAATATGCATTACAAAATATAAAAAATTTCTAATTCTGTACTAAATAAATTAAATGCATAAATTGACAATATTGTGATCAACATATGCTATTTCACTACTCACTTTTAACTAAACCTTTTAGCACAGTTATTAAAGTTTTCTGAAAGACAAAAATGCGCATATAATCAGCAAAACATGTTCACTCTTATATATGCTTGTTGCAGATCATTGCCAAACATTCTGCTAAGAGGCCAATATGGAAATATCTCCCAGAGGTCGTTTAAAATGTGTTTGAAAAATATGAGGCTAGTTGTGTATTCATAGAGTTTACTAAAAATCAAACAAAATGAGCTTATAAATTTGAAACAGCTTAAAAGCTTCTGATAGATTTGTTTTATATTCGCATTAATCTAAGCTGTTATTTTTTTTACCAATCTTAATTACTTACATTAATCATATCAATTATAGAAATGAGCAGGCTAGTTTTATGAAAAAAGAATTACTGACAATGTACACATTGCCTCAACTACAAGCTTTCTTATTGGGATTCATAGAACTAAATCCTATTATAAATATTGTATATATAATTTAAAGATCTGTATTAGGTTTTTTAATGCAAAATAGCACACACAAGTGTTATTTTGAATTATAACTTAAAGATATGAAAACTATACAATTGAATGACTAAAATAGGAATATTTTAAGTTAAAAGGTGCAAATTTTCAAAATTATTTAGATGACTTAAGCCAGTTTTAAATATTACATCTTGATGAAACAATCATAAAAATATCTGCAATAATACGACCTTAAATCATTGAACGAAGTAATTTTTATCACTTTAATGAGACTTAATAGACACATAAGTATAGCAGTTACTATAAACATGAATTTCATAACTAAAATTAAAGCAATCAAAACAATGGATTTTAAAATGATTTAGAAAAAAAGTCACTCCAGAATATATTAATTAAAATACTATAATAGATCATAACTTTTTTAATTTACTTCAGTTAATTATTTTCCATTTTTTTATAATCTAATTGCGAAACATCCACATCTTCATTGCGAAATATTTATTTCTCAATTAGCTTTCAACTAATATACATAATAAAATAGTAAACAAAAATATAAAGAAAAATAGGAATTAATTTCTTGATTATCATATGTTTAGATTACAATATTATAATATACGTTAGTAATATGCAGGTAAGTTTTTGGCGGCGCGAAAAGGAACTTGCAAAAATAAAAAAAAAATTAAAAATCATCGCATCCGCTATACGTTAGAAGTCCCTCCTTTTAAAACAAAAAATATACTTACACTAATGCATAAATTTATTTTACATCGAACGCAGTAAACAAAATGGAGTGCGACAAATAAATATTGATATTTTTAGTTTTACATAACAATTCCTTATATTAAAAATCTGTTAAATTTTAATGATAGGTGGATTAGCGCCATCTTTAGTAGAAAAGAAAAACAAGAATTAAATCTTAAGCTTTCCATTGAAGTTGGAATGATAGAAATAAATAGTTGACCGATACTCCTCGAATAGCGCTGTCATCGGTTTTTCATGAAATTTTTATTTCCTAGAATATTAATGTTATAATACGTTACAAAAAATAAAAATATATTTACCTAAAATCATGGGAGTTCAAAATCAGTAGCTTTTTATAATTTAAAATGCAATTTTTTAAATTAACGATTGAGTCATAAAAGTTACTTTTATTTGTAACTTTGAAAACGTTGCTCCACATGTGTTTGTTTGTCAACAAATGATTATTTGAAAGAGAAAGTTTATTTCTGTAGTTTCGTCGCAAAAATTAGTTCGTTATAACTAATTATTATTTTATTAATAAATAAATTGAATCATGGAAGTTAATGTGCATTTTAGGTAGGGAATAGAAGAAGCTACTAAAAATTAAATTGAAACTGGTTCATTTTCTAAGAGTAAATGAACATATTTTGATTTTGCATCATTGCAGATATTCTGCAATTAAAAATATCATCTAGTAAATTTTTAAAATGCTATTATTTATTTGATATTTCTTACACTTGGTACAAACTAATATGCTCTTTCCATTTTGTAAATTATTGTTCTTAAGCAATGTTGTATAAGAACTGGTATAAACATAAATTAAATTGAACGTAGTTAAAATAACTCACATGAACATGCTCAATAAGTTTTAAATGATTTGCATCCAGTAAAATATAATTTTAAAGATATTAATAAACGTTGGAATAATTTTAATGAGATAAAAATGATGGATAAATCGTTTAACAACGATGATCTCTTATTAGCAATAAATATTTTAATATACATATTAGACTACCTAGATAGTTTGCTATTAAATCTGTATATAATAATGTTCCAGATAAATGTAATGACGGGATTCTAAGTACCAGTTTTTGGAATTTAGAAAGATCTTAATGCTGGTTTTTTGAGTTTTCTGTAATTTAAACATGCAGATGAGTACCTAATTTGTCATGGCAATATTTCCCCATCGGTACCAATTCACGCAAACTACAATTACTAAGGTGCCTAAAGGATTTTAAACTGGCAAAATTTTTTATCTAAGAATTAAGTAAAGATTTGTTCGAGGGTGACTACGAGTTATGCTTTTCAAGTTGGTTCCTCTCTAAGAAGTTTTTTCTTCAGTCTGGTCTTCATACACAACGAGTTTTATACTGCAAGTAATTGCTTTTGCTGAAAATTGTAATAATAGCATGGCTGCTTAGCATTTCTCTGTAAATGAGAAACAAGTTCAGGAATGGAAAAAAAAGGAAAACTGGCTTAGTGCAGATTTCCAGATCAAAAAGTGCATAGCTAGGCTGTCGCTCTATGTTTCAAGAGTTAAAAAACACTCTTATCGTGGATTGGAGAAGTTCGATCGAATGGGCTGATTGTAACCCATACTGCCATTTTCATCTGAGCGATAACTTTAAGCAACCAGAATTTGCCTAGAACAAACTGAAGGATTTCTTTTTGAAAATACTTGCAAACGTATGTTTGGGTTGGTTGTGTTTGCAATGATAAACATGACACAATGATCTTCTGAATGGAGTAAAGGTTTTGATTTAAATTCTTGACTGGATTTTTTCTTAATTTAAATGCAATTTCCCGTTGTAAATTTGCCCATAATTTACTGCATTGATGTTTTTTTTAGGTTAAGGAATCTGCATTGATGTTTTTTTAGGTTAAGGAATCGTTCGGTTGTTTTTATTTGTATTGGATTCACATATAAACTTAAAAAGTGATACATGCAAATATTTAGCACAATCACATCGCTACATTGAAATGAAATATCTAGTCAATCATCTTTTTATGAGAAATGAACTTTTAAACACCTTTTATCTGCTCTTAAACCATACATAATTTTAAAAATTAGTTGAGCAACGTTCATAAAAGATCAGTGCTATTAATTAAATTTATCCAAAATACCTTGTTTTATTACTATAATAATTCAACAAGTTTTAAATTGTTTTATTTCTTTTATGCTTTCTTATTTATAAATTATTAATTTTTGTATTATTTATTCTAGTGGTGGTCTAGAAATTTTATTCAGCAATCAAAAGAAACATAAAGTTGTTCTTCCTAGTATCAGCGAAAAGTGTATGGTTTTCTAAAATTTGTAATTTATTAATAATTGCTTTTATTATTTTTAAATTTATTGATTCTATATATTTACTGTAAATGCACAACAAATTAGATTACTTTTAAATGCAGTAAAACATTAATAATGAAAAGTATATAACAATAGCATAAATTGGGCAAATCAGTGTTATTGATTTTTTTCATTGATTTTACTAATTTATTATCACAGGTGCCAACTTGCTCTGCTTCATGGAAATTGTTTTTCTAGTCATAATTAATTTGCTTGGGTTAGCAAATTTCATTTAAAATTTTGTCACATATCTCTACATTCAGATATTAATATAACATGCAGTGCAACTTTATTTGAATAATTTCTTAGTGCCCTCTAAAGTATTGAGGTAATTGAATGCAATTAAGTAATCTTTTAATTCGTTACCACTTTATAAAATATGCAGAAAGCAGAGCAGTTGATATCTCTGTATTTAAATCAAGGATATCAACTTTTAAATTTTTTAATGAAACTTCTTTATATTTGCATGAGGAAAAATCTAAGATTTTTCTTCTACGTTAACATTTTTGAATTTCAATTTTGCAAATTTATAGTGATAAGATATTTCAGACATTTGCAAACCAAAAAAAAAAAATTACAGATGTGAATTTTACTTTTTTTTGTTTTGTTTTTTGAAAAATTCTATAGTTAAGAAAGAATAGATCAGCTAATGGTGTTGAAAAAGAATCTATACTTTGTGCAAGCTTTTTATACTTTAATTAAACTTATCTTTGTAAAAAGATACATATACTTCCATATACATACATATATTTATAATTACTTTTTTTTGTAACATCTTAATTGAAAGGCCTATAACATCATTGCTATTTTATTTTTATTTTATCAAAGTAAATATTTTTAACTGCCATTTTTAGAAAATTTACAAATCGTAAAGTCTATGACATCAGACATCATTTCAAAATCTGACATAAGTAAAACATGTTTATTTCTTAAAAAATTTAGGTAATGTGATGCAATTTTGTGCAATAAAGTGTCCTATTTGCCAAAATAAACAGAATTTTCAGACACATTTATTAGATGCAAGATGTTTAGCACCATTTGAAGGAGTGGTATGAGTAGAAACTGTTAGTTCATAAAAGTTATGCAAATTTCGAAAATAGATTTTTTAAGTTTCTCTTCTATCATTACAATCTTGATTATTTTAAATCAAAATAAATACAATATTTGACTTTTTTAGGAACAATTGTGGATCATGCTCTATTTTTAAAAAAATGACATGAGTAGAAACTGATCCCCATAATGTAGAGGGTAGCCGCAATCAGGGGTCCCAATATTTCGGCCAAGAGAGAGATCCAAACCAAAGTTTGAACACCTTAATGTTAAGTTTACTTTTTGCGTATTTCGCCATATGTCAAGAACTTTTTTTAGATAATTGAAAATTAATGCACATATTTATAAAATTCATTTATTCAAAGATAATTCCAAGCAAAAAATAACATTTAATAAATATTTATTATTTTATTTGATAATAGTAAAAAAAAAAATTTGAATTGTAACATATACAATTTTCTACATCATTTTAAAAAACGTAATTTTATGTGAAAAAATACAAACTTTAAGCATAATTGGTTAATAGTCCCTGAGAAATTGAATTTTAAAAAGTTGTATATTTAAAATTTGGTTCCTCAGAAACTATTCGACAGATTTCTCTCAACTTTTGTATTTTGCCTTGGAAAATTGCATTCTTTAAAATAATATGTTACAATTCAAAATTTTTTAATTATTATTTTTTAATTAATTTTTGCATGGAATTATCTTTGGATAATTGAATTTTATAAAGGGGGGGGGAAATGTTTCAATTCGCTTAAAAAGTTCAAGATATGGTGAAATATACAAAAAGTAAATTTAGCATAAAGGACACCAATCTTTGGACTGCTTTCCTGACCAAACTATGCGGGCCATATTTCCCTAATAGCAGCTCTATGTTTTGGGGGTCAAAAATTTGAATACATTGAAAAAAAAAAAAGGGTTTTTTCAGAGAAAATATGTTTTTGTGTCTGATTTTGTAACTTAAATAAAGTGTCTGCGCTGATTATTCAGAATATTCGAAGTCATCTCCTCGATCAAAGATATGATCATTGGATCGAAACTTAACCAAAGCAGTCTGTTTGTTTTGTTGTGCACTATACATTGATACTTACCCAGAAGTCCTAGTACTCCACAATGTATTATTGTGTAGTATTGTGTATTATTGCAGTATTGTAGCGAAATTGAAATCATTTAAATTTATTTCATTTTTGTAAACTTTTTGATCAAATCTGATTGCATGATCAAAGTTATTAAAATCAAAGTTATTAAATCAAATGCAAATTTTTAAACCTTAAAATTTACTACCTTTTTAAGTATTAAAATGAAATCTCGTGTTTAAATCAGAGAAATTGTTTAAAGTGGTTTTACAATGCAAATTTCCGAAAAAAGTTTTTGAAATGTTCATTGTATCATTTCAGTTTTCATCTCTCTTTACTGAAAAAAAAAATTTTTTTTTCTTGCATTCCTAAATGATTTGCTGCTCAGCAAAGCGCAACTATTTTAAAGAGTGTGTTGTGTGATAATAATAAACTAGTTATCTCTTATATAGCACTGGGCAAAGTAAGAAATTTTATGTAATGTAACATACTTTTGATTAATGTTTCTTTTAAATCAAAACCATACGATCAGAAATCTTAAATTAAAACTGAAATGATTAAAAGAAAAAAATCTTTAAAAGAAAAAACAAAAAATGTCTCAAAAAAAAAATTTCTTTTTTTAATTAAGATGATAAAGATGGTTTGACCTAAAATCAAACTTTAAAATGTATGCTTTGAAATATAAAACTCTAAGACATAAGCTTTGTGTTAATATATAAATTTTTTTTGTTGAAAATTAAAAGCAACTTTTATTGGTTAAAAAAATATCGCGGTGACAATGTATGCTAAGTGGATATTTTGCGATATATTGCCCAGTCCTACTCATGAAAATGTGGGTTCCTTGAGGCATAATTTAGGAAATTAATTTTTAAGTGCCTATGATATATGTACTAATTTAGTAACTTACCCATGAAATAAAAGCTATTTTTAACTGCCATTTCTTTAAAAAAAGTTACTGCTTAGGTGCAAATTGTACGGCACTATTTTAATGAGAGTTACAATTATAAACTAAAACTAGTTATCTCATTATAATGTTGATTTCACAATACAAAATTTATGGAGAAAAAAATTTTTTATGTGCAAGTTGTATGATTGTAATTTCAATCACTTATTAATCAAAATAATTTAATTTTTACTACCTTATTTAAAACCTGTGTATTAAATTTAAATTTCTCTCTTAAAATTGAAATTATTTTTTTTGCAGGGAATATAAAATCTCTTATAGAATGGCTAAAAAATAACTTATTAAAAGAAAGACCAGAGTTATTTACTCAAGGAGACACTGTGTATGTATAATATTAAAAACTGTTATAATTATTATTTTATTTTATTTTTAAAGAATCTATGTTTTCAATGATGATTTATTTTGCAGACGTCCTGGAATTCTTGTTCTGGTAAATGATTCTGATTGGGAACTATTGGTTAGTATAAATTTTTTGTATGACATATCTTTATTCATAATTCTGTTACCAGAATTTATAGTGTCAATCTGCAGTATTATCTTTCTTCCTGAACCAAAATTTATATCTATACATATAGTAAAACCTCCTTTAACGACAGACCTCTAAACTATGGCAACTTCTGAAGAATGACCACATGTTTATGAGACCAAGCGTCTTCCATAGGTTTTACATTATCGGGAGCCACTGAACAACAGCCACTCGTTGCTAACACGAATTTTGTTTTAATTTAAAATGCATCTTAGTCAACTTTTACACCATTTTTCATTTCTTGTTTGCAATAATTTTGACTGATCATCATCATCATATTCAAGTCACTGCTAACAGTTTTTAAGCATTCTTACAATATTATAGTTAATCATAGGTTTAACAGTTCAAACAGCTGTTTTAAATAAAAGTAAATTTTTTTTTATTCTCAATGTATGATGTAAATGTAATGTCTTTTCTCAATGTAATATCTTTTTATAATATCTAAAAGCTTTAACAACTTTGATTTGGTCTTAATTAGTTATGTTACTGTTACTGATATTAGGTTAGGAATTTGTTAGAACAATGTTGGAATATAAACTGTGCAAATTTTACTAATCCTAAAAATTTTACCAACTTAGTATTGGTCTGAATAACTCACATTGTTATTGATGTTAAGTTAAGAATTTGTTGGAACAATGTAGCATTATGAATGTGCAAAATTGTCTTATCCTAAAAGTTTTAGCTACTCAGTCTTGGTCTGAATAAATCTTGTTGTTCTTGATATTAAGTTGATATAAGTCAGTAAGTTTATATTGAGTTGATTGATATTATATAATTTGGTAGAACAATGTTGGAATTTAGTGTGAAAAATTTTCTAAACCTCCAAGTTTTAACAACTTGGTTTTGGTCTGAGTAAATCTTGTTGATTAAATGTGATAATTCGGTACAGCAGTATGGGAATAAAATGTGCCAATTGTTTTTATTGTATAGCTTTGCATTTTGTGTAATCTAATAGAATACTTTGTTTTTAACTTAATACTTAATACTTGTTCATAAGTTTTAGGGCATTTAATCTTACTTGTGTGAAAATGTATGCAATGTACTTTGTTGTGTACTACTTTCTTGTACATTTCTGTGATAATTTTTAAAGGAATTGTTCCTTATACCAGTAGTTCCCAAATGTTGTTCCGTGGAAATGTTAAAGGCTTTCTATGAGTTAATGCTTCTTAAAAAATGTGAAGGGGTTAAAAACTTTGATTATATGTAGATCCAATCTATAATTCGTAATTAAATTAATTTTATGCTTGCGTTTATTAAATTATTTCAAGTAAAACGCTAATGAAATAGAAATGTTTTTTTTTTAAAGAAAGTATGAAAATTCAAAAGAAATTTCTTATGACAATATATTGGACAAATTGTGGAAAAAAAGCATTTATGAAATATTTCATTAGTAATTCCTACCGAGCTTTTCTAACCAAAATAACTTAATTCTTTAATTAGGAAATATATTTCCATAATAACCATTCTCAACAGCAGTTCTTTTAAGCTTTCATTTCAAAGTAAACCTTAATTTGTGTTGTTTTAATAATTTTCAACTTGTGTATTTACACCAGAAACAAATTCATAAACAAGATATAGCACAAGAAGTACAAATTTAATTGTCTGACATAAAACCTAGTTTAAGATAATTAATGACAAAATTACGAAAAATCTTTATTCCTCTACTTAAATATTTTAAATATAGTCTTTTATAGATTTTAACTTTCACAATAACCCGACACTTTATTTATAAAGTTAGGGTTCCACAAAAAGAAGGTTAATTATTTAGGATTCCATAGCCGAAAAAAAAATAAACCGCTACCTTAAACAATATATTTCTTTCTTTTTTTAATGAATTGTTGGCAATTTAATTCTCTTTAAATCAAATAATTAAAAAAAATTTCTTTATTCAATTTTATTTTTACCCTTTTATGATAATTATTCATAAATATTTTTGAATTGTTAAAATTCATGTATATAAAATTTAAAAAAAGCGTAATTCATGTAATCTTTAACATTTCTTTCGAACTACTTTCTCTTAGAAATTCTAATGTTTTAATTGCTTAAAATTAAAAATGATTGGTGCAAATCAATATATTTTAATAGGTGCAATTCGGGAAGTCCCAGCTTCCCTAAGTAGTACCCAAATAACAATTTAAGGTGAACTCAATATTTTTAATTTTGCCTGCACTTATAAACTTCTCTGCATAAGTGATAAATTGTAGTTGAAAAAATCATACAAACAAATAAAATATTGAATCATAAAATTTGCTACCATTTTAAATATTTAAATGAAAATTTTCAGATAAATCGGAATCTGTTGGCAGATATATATTTTTTGCACATTTTTACTACACGACTTAAGAAATCTGTAAATTACTATATGCTATTAATGAGTCACAATATTAATGTAGGAGAAACATTATAAAGGGATTTTTTACTATAATTGTTCATGTTAAATTTTTTTAATAAGGTTTTTTCCACATTTAGGTTTTTCTCAAAATTAAGTGTATAATAATTGTATGTGTATGGAATTGTTAACTTTTGATGCAGATGGGAAACCGGTAATCCTTTTACACGCGTTTTTCTAATGTTCTTATTACAAGTAAAAATATCATTTGAATTATATAAATTTTTTATTTATAAAAATCTGTTTAATAGTTAGTAATAAAAATATGCAATTTAATAAATTTCCATTTAATAGATATATTTAGGTTGGAATACAGAAAAGCAATTTTTATTGGTATTTGATTTTAAGATATTTGATTTTAAGTCTGTAAACATTTTAACTTTTAATATCCATAATATTGTTTCTTCTATAATATTGTATTTTACAAGTTATGAAACATGATTTTGTTCTATAGATTATGCTAGAACTAAAGATGCTTAAAATATTTTGTAAACTAATCCTTATAAAAAATGTTTATTTATTTATTTATTATTATTATTATTTTTTTTTTGTAGGGTGAACTTGAATATGAAATCCAACCAAATGACACAGTTCTTTTCATTTCAACTTTACACGGTGGCTAACTACTTAAATATTAAAATGCTGTAAACTGTAAAATTGTGTAATTATATAATGGTTTTATTATTTATTTTACGATTTTTTTTAATAAACGTTTATAAAATGAAAAATTTTTAGTTACTATTTTAGTGTACAGCATGCAAAAAAAAAAAAAAAAAAATTAAATAAACAAACCACCCTGAATAACTTTTGATCTAATGATTTGGTCTTCACGTTCTAGGACTCAGTGAAGACTAATTCCTGAGAAACTGAATTTTAAAGATGACTTTTTAAAAATTCAATTTCTCTGGAACTATTAGACCAATTTCGTTGAAATTTTACCATGTGAAATTACATTCTTTAAAATGTCAAAAACTGTATATCTTACATATCGAAATTTTTTGACTATTATTAAATAAAATAATAAAAAATAAATATAAACTAAAAGTTTTTTTTAATTTTTTTTTCAAAGAATTATCTTCAGCTATACGAATTTTATAATTGTGTGCAAAAACTTTTCATTTCGCTCAAAAATTTCTCAAGATTCGATGAAAGGCGCAAAAAATAACTTAACATTAAGGGACCCAAAGTTTGGACTGCTCTCTTGTCCAAATTGTGGAGACCCTATTTCCCAGATTACGGCTATGCTCTTTATTTTGGAAATCAGAAATCTGAATCTGTCGGAAAAGAAGGTATGTTTATTAAGAGAAAAAACATTTTTGTGTTTGATTTTGTAACTTAAAATATCGTTTGCACATATTAATTAGCATATTTTAGATGACCCCTTCAAACCATTGAGTCCTAGAAAGTGAAGATGCGATTATTAGATCAGAAGTTGTTCAGGATAATTCGTTTATTTTTTGCGCATCATACAATGTCATTGTTACAAAGCAATGACTGGATATAGTTGAGATCTGAATATAGTACACCCTCCATTTTGGAAGTCCAATGGTGAAGAAGAGGTATATAAAAATTTAGTAATATCTAGCAGTAATTACTTCAATTTCATCTTATTGCTTACTGTAAAAGATGCATGCTACTTTAGCTGTATATTAAACTGAAATATTTTTGAAATACTGTTTGTTGGATTTCCATTTGAAGCAGGTTAGTAACTGAATTACAAATATCATCACACAACGGAATTCTATAGTATAAAATCAACGGATAACGATTTGAATAAAAAAGAAATTTTTTTTTAGAAAACTAGCAAGTAGTATGTTAAGTTTTCATTTAACTAGCACACTAATTGATTCTTAAAAAAAAAGTGAATTTCAAATTTAGAAAATTTTCCAGAGCAGATATTCGATTAAAATCTCAAAAATATACACCAATATCACAAGCATTTATTTACATCCCCTAAAAATTACTAAACGAAATTTATAATTTTTGATGATGATAAGAAATAAAATTTGAAAATTGAGTTGGACATGAAACATTTTTCCCCAGTCTTCTTCACTAACTTTTCGGTGTCCATCTTGACTAACCGTAGACCAGAACCGTTTTACCCCAGTACGGCCGGTCTTCATTCACTATGCAATAACTCTCGGGAGGGGGGAAACTGATATTTCACTTAATTCATTTGTAAAAACTCAAAATGTCAAGATCATCGTTTAAATGTGAAAAATGGACATAAACCGTTCTTGTCTCTTGATCATCAGTTATGTTTTTTAAATGTGTTTCTATAAAACTAAATAATTTGGAATCGGCGGTAATTAAAATTTTAAAAGTTGCGTACTGAAAATAAAAAAAAATTAACGGAGAAAGGGCATTAATTTGTTTAAGAGAAACTTAAAAATCGCCTTACTATAATTGACACTAATTATGCCTAATTAATTTTGGTAATAGGTACTAAACGAATTAATAAAAAAATAAGCTATATACTGATATGCTAATTTAATAGAGAAATGGTAGTTTAGGAGAAACGTAAAAAATCGCCATACTATTATTGACGTCAATGATGCTTAAATTTGGTATTAGGCACTGCTGGTATCATGGTAACTGCATACGTGCCAACTTTTACGCATTTGGCGTAAAATTTTATTTCTAAATTTAAAGTGGTAGTAAAATGTACGCTTTCTATATATTCTTTGCATTTATTAACTAAATTTATAATCTTTTTAATCACTACCATTTTTAAAAAAATTAAGTATATATATTAATATGGAATACTGTTGTAGTAGTCCGCAGAAGTGCTCTCAAAGTACAACGTATGTTTCAGCCTAAAATTGTAATTTACATTCCATTTTACTACCACTGGGGAAAATCATTCTCGAAAGGATCAAAAGTTGGCAGGTATGTAACTGGTGTAGTTTTAATAGTTAGCAAGCAGCATACTAATCTAGGTACATTCACGTATATTTTGTATCTGTTGAAACTGCATCAATACTGTGCAGTTTTATTATGAATTCTGTGGGATGATTTTTTTTACAGCCCTAAAACATGATAAACAGTGGAAAAAATTGCTTAATTATGGTATATTTTAAGATTGCCTCGAGCAACAGCATCGTGCAATATGATTCTGATTACAGCTAATTGTCATTTTGATAGATGAACAACTGAAAGTGTGTGTTGCTCAATCTAATAGCGTAAAGCCAAGGGAAAGGGCAACAAATAATAAATAAATAAAATTGGAATTATTTTAACTTTATTTAGTTTGTATACAGAGATGGACTGGGATACTCTGTAGCACAGTGGATGCACCTTCAAGAGAGCGCCGTGGGGTCTGTACGGAAATAAAAATATCTTAAAATAAATAACAAATTGGATAGAGCCGCGGTGGCTAAAGTGATAGAACGTTTGCCTCCCAATGAGGTAACCCAGGGACAAGTCCAAGCGGTGGCTTGTTGATCGTAATTCTGTTACCGCTTCGATCATAGTACTGATGTAAGGTATCCTCAGTGGTTGACGGGTCATGGGTTAGAATCCCCTTGCCATCTGGCTAACCCTGGAAGGTTTTCATGTTTTTCCTCACCATGTAACGCCAATGCTGGTTAGTCGTTGCATCATAAGTAATAGGGCCAGAAGATGCCAATATAGAGAGTGTACAGAGATTCATCCGAGTGTGCCAGTCCATCCCTGAATTGAGTTTCTTTTCCATACTTACTAATCAATGAATATAACTTAAATATCTAATGACGAAAAAAAATATAGAAATTTTTTAAAAATATATTTATTAAAAAGAAGATAAACTATCTATTAAAAGCTTTACATTAAAACTTTGCATGTTTATTATCACTTAACACATTAGTTAGAGATAATTCCAACTCTCTCTAAAGATTAAAAGAAACTGTAAATACCACAAATATTTGCAACATCAAAATCTTAAGATTTTTTTAAAAACAACTCAGCTTTCAGATGAAATTTAGATTTTATCTGTGAAACATGTAACTGCAGCAACCTGTCATCTCAGAATCTTTGACTACTGCAGTTAATTTCTTTACCTCGCTTTGGAATCTCCGCACATTCTATGTTAACCTTTAGCAAAAAGGTATTTTTGATATAATTGATATTCCATTAGGATTTCTTACTCTGTTTTACATTTCAAGAAAACCTTTATTCAATTAACGCACTAGTTTTTAGCTTATTTCAACTCTTTCCATGGATTAAAATATAAATGCTGAACAAATATTTACAGCATTAAAACCTTAAAATATTTTTTTAAAACAATTGAGCTTTCGTCACCTTTCTTATTTAAATTTTTGCCTCCGAAATATGTAATTAATTATTTGCAGTAACCTATCAGTTCAGTTTCTCACTCAAATATGGAATAGTGTTATATTTTACACCAGCAAAAGGTTGGGATATAGTTGATATTCCACCAGAATTTCTTCGTTTTACATTTTTCATTTCAAGAAGAGTTTGTTTTTTTTTAGTTTGTGCACAAGTTTAATCTTATTCCAAAGATTAGAAGAGCTATTCTCTTTCTAAAGATTAAAAGAAACTATAAATACTTCAAATATTTATAAAACTAAAATTTTTTATAAAAAACTGAGCCTTCGTCCCCTTTTTGATCAAATTTAGATTTTAATTTATGGAACAAACTGCAGCAACCTATGATCTCTGAATCTTCGACATCTGCAGTTAAGTTCTTTGTGTCTTTTTGGCTAGGAGCTGCGGTACATTTTACTCCAGCTAAAGGTTGTCGGGATATAATTGATATTCCATCAGGATTTCTTCGTTTCAGATTTTTCATTTCAAGGAAACCTTTATTCACTTTGCGCACTAGTTTGAGCTTATTCCAACTCTTTCTAAAGATTGATTTTTCTTTGGGTGACAGTGTTGGAATACAAATATCTTCTGAAAAAGTCAATCGCAAATTTTTCATGGAGTCGAGATTAATTTGACATAGAGGGCTTTCCAAGAGCTGCGAGATATTTCTTGGTGACTCCAAAGGTATGTCAACAAACTCTTCGGGAACATTTTCAGATGTGGTTCTTGAAACATTTTGATTCTCTGATGACGATGCACTTTTTTCAAACTCTGAGCTCAAACTTCTTGAACTTGTACCATTCTTAAGTTTAGGGGATACGCTTGAGTGTCTTACAGGAGTAAATTTGCATTTCATGGTAACTGGTTTTCCAATATCGCTGTTGTTCAAGCAATTACTGCATGCTTCTGCGGAAACCAATTGTCCTTCTCCGAAAATTGAAAGAATAGAAGTGTTGGTAGGAGATTGCAAATCTAGACAGTCATTGTTTAAAACATCTTGCTCTTTTAAGGTTTGGGTGCCAACGTTACGCTTAATTAATTCAATAACTGGTGAATCATAACGAGAAGATCTAATTAAATTTTTAAAGCACAATCTTTCATTTATACTATGACAATCTTGGCTCATAAATTGTCCACATTTTTTACTCTCTACTGATAATTCATTTCTTTGCACTTGAAATCTAGGAGGAGTTTTATCCAAGCTTGAAGAATCCTCGCCATTTTCTAGCTTATTGTATGTCCGTTTCCAATAAATTGGCTCGGAAAAATTCATTTGAACTTTATTTAAAAACGAAGCCCAAAGTAATGAATAGCTTGCACATAAAATTTTTATAATCGAATTCACTAGGTTTTCCAATTTCAAACCTATCCACAGAAAATTACTAAGGCAGTCTCTTATTACTAAAATATTCATCAGCACGAGTGCTATCCATACTTGAAGAGCGAGATTAGCAAAAGGAGGGATAATTTCAAAAAGGGTTCTGCACTTGAGCATCGAGACTGGGGAACTATTCACTGATTTGGAATCTGAAATGTAAAGACTAATTAGTGAAGTTTATACACTATAGTTGTGATAAATATGGTTGATATACTACTTTTCATTTGTTTAAAATTTTGTAAGATATTATGTTTCAGTAGAAACTCTGATTTACAATAATTTTTCCAATCGGTTTAACAGGATTCTGTCATTGGTTCAGGCCCTTAGATGCTTATTCCATTAGAAAATTAAAATTTTTCATTTTATGACGGAGGGAAATAATTTAAATGGTAATTTGAGTGTTAAACTTCTTATAGTGCCATGTTACTTGACAAAGCAGTTTACACGTACGTTGTCGATGTTGCCTGCGATTTTGAAGAGTGGTGATACTGTTTTATGCATGTGGTGTTATTGTTAAAAATGGAATAAGTCTATTCGTAAAGTTATGAGCTTTTAAGGGTTAGTGTTTGAATGAATTTAAAAATAGTGGCAAGTGATGTTTTTAACACTATAATTTGATGAAACATCAAAATAAAAAAAGGTTGTCAAAAAAAATCTTAAAAAAATAATCAACTTTTTAGCTCTAAAGGGATTCTTTCAATGTAGCCGCTTTCAAAAACAAAGGTTCATATTTTACACACATTATGTTCTTGCATGTCTGACTTCATGTAGTAAAACATAATGTCGGCTAAATGTATGTTATAATAAAATGTATCCTTTCGGGAATATATAGAGTTTAGCATTTAAATAAATATAGTTTTTCTTCAAAAGGAAAAAAGTGGAATTGACATAACTGTGCAAAATGTAAAAGACTGAGCATTCAAAGTTGACTAAGAAAAGAAGAAAAATTTAAGTTATGTTCACCAGGTCGGAGTACCACATTTATGTAAACATTTGCGGTGAAATGTAATGCTTTTTTCTCAGCCTGCGATATCCTTTCAAAAACTACGTTAAATATGGTTACTCTAAATGTTAAATATAGATACATTAAATGTTAAATATGGTTCTCAAATTACCGATAATTAAAAAAAAACTAACGATCAAAAATAAGGAAATATAAATGAATAGTTGTTGCGTTTTGCTGAGGAAACCACGTATTATTCAAACGTTTAAGTTTTAAAGCTAGTTCCAAATTCGAAATTAGTTACAACATTCAACAACAAAGGGCACTGATAAATGTTGTATAACAAGGTATTGTATAACAATTGTATAACATATTTTTTTTGTAAAACAAGGTTTTCAAAATAAATGCAATTTTCAGAAACAACGTGGCAGCTTGGCTTTGTCTGCCCTCAAAATTAGTTGGCGCCTGTGCATATATTTAACTTAAAATAGACTGAAATGCAGCAGAAAATATGGTTCTATAGTTTTTAAAGCCAACAATTCCATTTTTTGGCCCATTTTTTAACTAATTGAAACTAATTTTGAAATTTGATGAGAAAACGTATTTGGTTTCCTAAGCAAAAGACAGCAAACCTTACATTTCTTTCACTTTCCCTCTTTTATTTTTCTCTATTCATTTTTTCAAATTGTCGATCATTTTTGGAGCACTCGGTAGATTCTGTTCTTAATTTCAGTAATAATTTACAAATTTCTTAAAAATTTCCTTTGAAAAATGAATAGAAAATCTAAATTCTGCAAAGAAATAAAGGGAAACTTCGGGTACAAGTAGTCACTCTCTATGCATAGCATGTTTGGCCCATTTATTTAGTTCTCATGAAATTCAGCCGAAACATTGTTTAATCAAGAAGCCAAGTTAAATTGGCTAAAGTAACTTTCAGCTAAATTTTATGAAGTATTTTTAATCTAAATTTCATGAAGTATTTTTTATCTAAATCTCCTCAAGTATTTTGAAGCTAAATTTAAATAAGTATTTTGAAACTAAATTTTGTAAAGAAGTTTGAAATTCAATTTTATGAAGTATTATTTCATGAAGTATTGGATACTCTTTCTTAAGCTAAATTTCTTGAGAAAAAATATAGAAATAGTGCAGAATCAGGCTTCCAGGAAGAACTTCTAAACTAAGCTAAGACGCATTTTTCTAACAAACAGGGAATTCAAGAAAGCCTCTTATCGCCAATTAGAAATAGAGCTTTCATAAGATATTTTTCTTATAAATTAAATGATCCACTTATAAATTAAATGATTACATGTGACCCGCGTCTGGAACAAAACCGTGGAATCATCTTGCATCCACTTATATATTAAATGATTACATGTGTCACGTGTGGGACAAAACCATGGAATCATGTATACACTTGCATATTAAATAATTACATGTGTCCCGTACTGGATAAAACCATGAAATCATCTTGTATACATTTACATATTAAATTATTACATTTGTCACGCGTGGGTCAAAACTATGGAATCATCTTGCAAACACATAAATATTAAATGATTACATGTGTCACGTGCGGGACGAAACCGTGGAGTCATCTTGCATCGACTTAGATATAAAATTATTACATGTGTCCCGCGTGTGAGGTAAAACCGTGGAATCATCTTGTATACACTTACATATTAAATGATTACACGTGTCACGTGCCAGCCGTGGACCTTATATTTTTTATTGTAATTAGTTATTGTAATTGCTATTCATATTTGTTACATATTCTTCCCAAGGACAAGATACGATAGGGCTCTCTTTTGCAAGCACTGCGATTTTTACATCATTGCTTACGCAGAAAACTTCGGTTAACTGTGGAATTAGGAGGGGGGGGAAATTGAGAAAGGAACATTTAAAACTATTACTACTTTTTTTTAAATTTTTCCTTTTAAAATGTAAGTCTGAGCTTATAACTCCCAATATACAGGTGACATTAGAAAAATGGAAATCGGAAAACATTTAAAGTTCAGATTCCGTAAAAACTTCGTATAAAATTAGATTATATAAGTTACGTATATAAACGTAAGGAAGTTTCAAAACCTAATAGTGAACGCATTTTTTTTTTTTTTAGTTTTGTCGTGCTACAAAATACATAAAATCTTAATCTAATTGCGTCTTATGCGAAAACGCGATTTAGCATAATGTATTTGTATATTTCGCATGACTTTGCATAATATATTTTCTATTTTCCGCACACGGCTCGCACCGACCACAGTGCGGATGTAAAATATTCTCATTGGTAGATGGATCATGGGTTAGAGTAACCTTGCAGTCAGGCTAACCGTGGAAGGTTTTCCACGGTTAGCTATGTAATGGAAGTGAGGGTTAGTTCCATCAAAAAGTCCGCCAAAAATGCAAATTTCTCCCAATACTTTATTTTCTGGATTGGGTTCACAATTACAAGACTACGGAGTTGAACATTGGTAGACGTAAACTCAGAATCAGGTCGCTTGTTCATAAAATATATTTTGAATTCAGCCGTGGTGGGTCAGTGGGTGGAGCACTTTGCTTCCAAATGAGGTTATAAAATTAAATATAGGTTGTATGATCCCAATAGTTTTTATTTTTAAGTTTTAAGTCCAAATTTATTTTTCTAAGCTTCCTGAAAAATGGAAGTTTAAGAGTTAATATTGATTCAAGTGTCTTATTAAAGAAGATAAGAAATAGTTTTGACAAAATCTTTCAAATAAGAAAGAAAAAAAATCTGTGGAAATTTTGCATTAGTTATTTTTTCAAAGTGATATTTTTTTTTTCTTGTCTTATTTTAGTTTCGCCTTCCATATCACTGAATGAATTTTCGGCAATTAAAGTTAAAATACACATTATCCATTTATAAATGCATCTCTTATAATATAGAGTAACAATAAACATAAATGAACATTGCAATTATAAACGAAGTAGAATTTGCAAAAAAAATTTAGACAATTATAAGGAAATTCGATAGAGACTTACTTAAATATAGTGCAGCCCAAGACTTAGCAAAGGAAATTTTATAAGGGAAGAAAGTATTAGGCTGATTAGTTGAGTCAGGTTTTTAGTTTAAAACTTGCTGATTTTTTTACATAGAACGTTTCATAGAACTTTTTGTTTACATAGAGCGCTTCCTACGAATTACTTCCCAGCATTTAAAGACTCACCAACATATTGATATTGTTATGGTAGGTAAGGTTATTTACAAAAATAAGATCCTGAACTAAAGCAAATTCGTTCCCTAAAGTAATTGATATACGGTACTTTATTTACGTCACACTAGAGCTGCACAATGGGCTATTGTCGATGGTCAGGGAAACATCCCTGAGGATGATCCGAAGACATGCCATTCCAATTTTGATCCTCTGCAGAGGGGATGGCTCCCATACTTTGGTAGCCAGGCGACCTACTCGCGAAGTCGAGCACTTTACGGTAGAACAGTTTAACGAAGACCGATACCACGTACACTATGGTCCCTATGCAGGCTGATCAAAGTGGTCACCCACCCGCTTACTGACCGCAGCCAGTGATGCTTGACTTCGGTGTTCTACTGGGAACCGTGTCTTTACGATCACTCCACTGCGGGACTTTAGTATGATGAATTTCATTGAAAGAGATCACTTTAGGTAATCCTAGGATACAGAATATTCTTCTTTCAGCTATATGTATGGAATAGCAGCCAAACTGATATGGTGAATATATTCTTCACCTACAAAATTCTGGACTGGGGTTCGTACCCACTATATTTTTATCGGTACTTGAACATACTATCCTTTGAGGAGTTTTAAGACTAGCGTACTTTTGCTCAATACTCTAACCCATTATACTTTTATCATTTGATCAGTACTCTGACCGACCTTTTTTTTTACTTGACCCACTTTTCTAACTTTTCTCCATTTTCTAATACTTGATCGATTTTCTTTAGCTTTTAGAGCCCAGTATATTTTGATTAAATTTCGAATCCACACTCTTTTGATAAATACTCGAACCCACTATTTTTGATTGGTAATTGAACAGACTGTTATTTGATCATTAATCGAAAAGACTATTATTTGATTTATTGGTTAGTGGAATAACGTACATTTGCAGGCTTGCGTGTTCAATTTAGGCTTATAAACCTTTGTCAAAAACAGAAGAATAGATAGCACAATACAGAGAAGGTCATCACGAAGATACATCCAGGGTAACAGTGGGATTCGAACTCGCTACCTCCACGCTTTTCACAGCGTTTGGCGAGCGATACCTCTCGGCCAAGGAGGCCTCCCTTTCTTTTGATCAGTAATCTAACGCAAACTTTTTTTAATCGGTATTGATCAAAAATGGTTGGTTTAAGTTATTATCAAAATAGTAGCGAGTTTGTGTATCGATATCTATAAAAAGATAGCGGGTTTGAATATTGAACAAGAGAAAGTGGGTTTGAAAACTGCTCAAAAAATAGCTGGTTCCAATACCGAAAAAATATACATCTCAGAACAGTTCTTGTACCTCCCCCCTTCCCACTTTTCATCGGTACATGAATCCACTACCACTTGATTAATCATCGAACATACAATGATTTGATCAATACTAGAACCTACTATCTTTTTTTCAGTGCTCGAACCCTCTATGATTTAATCAGTTTTCAAACCCACTCTCTTTTGTTCAATACTCGAACATACTATCTTTTTATCTTTACCAAAACCCGCTATCATTTGATCAGTAATCGAACTTACTATGATTTCATTACTCGGGCCCACTCTCTTTTTATCAGTACTCGCACCCACTGTCGTTTGATCAGTTATCGAACCCACTCTGTTTGATCAATACTCGAACGAACTACCATTTGGTACTGGAACCCCCTGTCATTTCATCAGCTTTTGAACCCCCTTATTTTTAAACAATACTTGAACCCCAAACCTTTTTATTGGTACTTGAACTCTTTATCTTGTTATCGGTGCCACGACCCCGCTATCACTTGATCAGTAATCGAACCTGCTATGATTTGTTCAGTACTCGGGCCCACTCTCTTCCTCTTTGATCTCGAACCCATTATCATTTGATCAGTTTTCAATTCCGCTCTGTTTTGATGAATACTCGAACCCACTATTGTTATTAGTAATCGAACACACTGTCATTTGATCGGTACTCGAACCCACACCTTTTTGATCAACACTCGAACCTACTCTCTTATGATTAGTACTCGAACCCACTATTAATTATATCAATAACTCTTTTTCCCCACTGTTTTTTCGGTACTCGAACTCACTATCTTTTTATCGGTACCACGACCCCGCTATCACTTGATGAGTAATCGAACCTACGATGATTTGATCATTACTCTGGCCCACTCTCTTTTTTTATCGGTATCGAGCCCACTATCTTTTGATCAGTTCTCCGTTCTACTCTCTTTTGTCAATGCTCGAACTCACTATTTTTTCTATCGGTACTCGAACTCGCAATAATTTGATCAGTACTCGAACACACTCTCTTCCTATTAGATCTCGAACCCATTATCATTTGATCAGTTTTCGATTCCGCTCTGTTTTGATGAATACTAGATCCACTATTTTTATTGATAATCGAACGCGCTATTTTTGATCAGTACTCGAACCCACGCCCTATTGATCAACATTCGTGTGCTCTCTTATGATTAGTGCTTGAACCCACTATTAATTATATCAAAAACTCATTTTTCTCCACTGCTTTTCGGTACTCAAACCCGCTATCATTTAATCAGTACTCGAATTTACTGTGTCAGTTTCGTGACACGGAGCTTTTGGAGCTCCCCCAAAAATGTATCGGTTAACGGTTTTTAGTCGTTTAACGGTCAAGACGTCATTACTTTTATTTAATAACAATTCTTTCATCAACGTTTTAAATATTTCAATCAGAAAATTTAACTACAAAAAAAAATTAAAATCTTAAAGAATTATGCAATATAATTCATGATTTTTACAAATGCAGGAAACATTCTTGCTGAATGTGATTCGATCGTTTTACTTAAAAGTGAAAACAAATGAGAACACATTATAGTATTTCCCCACAGCTGCCAACTTTCTACGTTTTTTGAAAATATTTCTGCTAGTTTAAAAAATTTCGTCTTGCTAAAGTTTATGCTTTGCAGGGGTCCCCAACCCTATGCCCGCGGGCACCATGGCGCCCGTCGATCGGTCTAGGTGCGCCCGCTGTTTGTGTCCAACTATAAAATATTTCAGTTTTCCATTTTCCCATAAAAAGTTATGCAAATTTTTTTGATTTTTCAATATTGGTAATAAACACAACCAAAGTAGAAATCGACAGGAAAAAACCCTCCATCCCCACAAATATAAGCACGAAGCAAAATATCGCTGTATTTTCCACTCGCGCCAAGTCTTCGCTAATTTCCCACACCTGAAATAAAATAAATCGGTCCATTTTTAAGGTTGCCGTACTACGAAGGCGTTTTTCCGAAACTCGTCGATTTATGGTTTCTATGTTCACATTTTTTGTATACAGCGTTAGTTCTTTATTATTTGTAAATACTTCCTTTGTTTACACTAAAATGAGTGGATCAAGCAAAAGACAACGTACCTGTATTTTTAATTCCAAATGGGAGGAATCATATTGCTTCGTCAATTCAAAAGATAAATGTGTGTTGCTTGCTGTGTGGAAATAGAGTTGCGGAGCCGAAAAAACATAATGTTGAACGTTATTTCGAAACAGTTCATTCTACTTTTAATGCGAGCTATCCACTTGTAACTCCCCGTGTAGTGAATGGTGACTGATGCACGTTAAATCTGTCGTGTCGCAAAGTCCTCGATGTTCCCATAACAAATCAATACCTCTGGGGCTACTGATCCAAGAGTTTCCTTGTCTTCTGGATTGGTTCAAAATTACAAGGCTACGGAGTTGAACATTAGTAGTCGTAAACCCAAAATTTGTTCGGCTGTTCAACGACGGATATAAANAAAAAAAAGTTTTTATATGGATTTGAATGATTGTTTTGAATTCTTAGAATTTTGTGCATTTGTAATGTACCTAAGTTAGTAGCGAGCGAAGCGAGCTTGGTTTGAGAAGCAAACCATATAAGATTTCGTAGCAATTTTCGGGAGTTGGCGAGCGTTAGCGAGCAGGGGGCGCGGCCCACTAGTTGAAAAGAAATATATAATTGAAAAGAAATATATAAGAATGGGATAACCTGTAAGTGACGTAGTGTGGGTGTCTCGATCCTGATTGATTGTTGAAACGTGCATTTGTTTAGGTTAGCAACTGTTCTTTCCATTCTGTTTCGAGTAAACCAAGTCCGTCAAGTATCAATTCCCTTAACGCTGTTTTTCGAAGCTCTGTCTGCAAGGAAAATAAAAGCCATAGCTTCAGTTCCTTAAACTTGAAACATAGCGATGATTTTAAATTATATATATAATCTTGCCGCGAAGAATTATCTGGGCTTTAGAACAGGCAAATAATTTAAATATTTTAAAAGTTATTAAACTTTTTAAAAAATCGTCAATTTGGCTACAATTTTTCACCTAGATGAAAATTATCAAAATCATTTCCGTATTCTTTATTTTGGCTACTTTTTATGAGTACAAGTAATGCAGCATTGAAGTTTTTAAATATAAAAAAAATTGAACCATAAACGCTTTTAATTTTCACAAAACTGTGACTTTTCTCCATATTGACGTTGTGCGCCATTTTCAAAATAAACGTAGACAGCGCTGGTTTTAGATAGGCTTAGCTTGATCAAACAGTCATAAGTAACAGTTGCAATCTCACAGCAGTTTTAAAAATAGTAATTATTCGCGAAAAAGCCTCATTTCATATTGCTACGCTACGGATCCTTCGAGAAACAGCCTTAAATGTTACGGCATTCTATATTCTTTCACAAATATTTCAATTCTTTCACTATGTATTTCTTACTTAACTCAAAAACAGGCACGGAGTCATGTGGAACATAAACAAACTAATTATGCATCGAATTTGCCAGGTAAACAAAATAAAAATATATCGCTGATACAATAAAATACAAAAACAGATAATAAATCTAAGTTAAGTAAAAGAAATAAACGAGAAAGAATTCTATTTCAACACATTCGATTCGGCGCTGAATTTAATTAACTTTCCGTTAATTAACATTTTAGTTTGTGTAGCGAAACTTAGCTCCACTTTAATACACTGTTTTGCTGATAAAGATTAACTTGCGCTGATGTCATAGGTCACATGTGTGGGTATCAGTGATCTCCTTCTTCTTGAAGTGCAAGTATCCAATTCAGTTGAACTTAAACAAAATTAGGGGTAAAAATAAATTAAAAAATAAATAAAAATTCTTTAAAGCAGGAGAAATATTATGAGAGGATATTAAAAACAAAGAATGTTTGTAGGTATGTATATCAGTTGAAGAAAAGACGTCCTTGGGGAATGTGGGAATGCTTTCAGAATTTTTTACTGAACTTGTTGTACTGTTGCAATCTCAGTACCTCCGAAAATGTTTGTAATCAAGTGGTTGCACAGGATAATAATCTCCCTTCCTATTATTTGTATTTAATTGAGGAGATAAAAGTTTGTAACTCGAATTAAATGCCGATAATTTAATAACACTGGGGAAAAAATATATTGTTGCTTTTATTCAAATACTTGAGAGCTTGCCTTATACTGTTGTGTCCTAANTTTTTTTTTTTTTTTTTGTGTGTATCAAAAGGCATTTTTTGCCAAAACGTACTAGTTTAAAAACGTTATATATAAAAGGGAGTCGCATAAATGTTGTGACAACTTCTTGTGAGTTATAGCACACCATCAATAAAATTACACAGAAACCCATGTCTTTAATGTCATCGTACTCTCCAGGGGTATTTCGTAAGTAGTATTTTTATAATTCATAGGTAAGTATTTTCATAATTATTTAAACATTAAAAAAAAAAGTTTTAGTCCCTTTAAATTTGTTGCCCCTAACGAAGAATTAAAATTTTGCAGGCCTTAGCCCTAGTACCCCCTTAATCTGTTCCTGGTTCTTATTTTTACCGCTGCAGTTTTAACGGTTCTACTCGAAGTAAAATATGTTAGTAACATTTTTAAATTACTTGTCCCCCAAAACACAAAAATTTTTCGCAAAAATTTTTCAACACTTCGAACCGATTTAAGCTTGGTTGGTAACAGAGTTCCTAGCCCGAAGGGTTATCTACTCTTTCATTGAAATTAATTGTTGCGTGAGGGAGATACGCAAGCGGAGATAATATAAAACATTATGAAAATAACTAAGCCATTAGAGATAATAAGAGAAAGGGAAAGTTAAACAAATCTTTTATTCAAACATAAAATGTTAGAAACTTACAAATATGTAACATTGAAAAACATAAATACAACTATAATTAAGTCGCATGATAATGGTATGCAAATGTCAGAAACCAAAAATTTTAAATTGCTTCTATTTTTAAAATTTAATCCACTTAAATGAAACAGATTAAAATGATTCTTTAGTTCCTAAAATTTTATCGGCCCTTTGTTAAATTTCATCTTTTCTTTCGATTATAATAAGATTCGATTATTATAAGAGCTCTGATTATTATAAGAAATACAACATAGCACAATAACAGAAAATATTTAATAAAGCGAGCTATTAAATAAGTTTTAATATAAAATAAATTTTAACGTAATTAAATAACGCTAGTTTAAGTCAAAAGTTTCCACATTATCATAGGTTTATAAATTCATAAGAATGAGTAATATTGCTTACGCTTCCTAATGTGTCTACATGCATAATAAATAGATTTCATCTAATGTTTCATTTTACATTAATTTTAGTCTTAAGGAAATTAGTCTAAATAATTTTTAAACAAACTGACTATTAAATAAATTATAATTAAAAACATTAAAAGACCAACTACATTTCAGATAAGCATTGATGTAGCTTATTTTGCATAACTTTGTGTACCAAGAAAAGAAAGTCTTATCAAGAATAACAACAACAAACAATTAATTAATCTATATTTCATTAATACATCGAATCAACTCCACCGGAAAAGGGAGATAAGATAGATAATTCTTTGTTTACATTGGGAAAATAAAACAAATAAAGAAGAGAGTCTTATATCTTATTCCAGTCCTTGAACCGTTATTTTTTTATTTATTCATTTTTTTTTAATATATGGTCTGAGTTATCAGTACAAAAGAGCTTTTGTGATCATTGGCGACGTTAAAAATCAGCCAAATCCAATCCCCCCAAACGATTCCAGCAACCCTAACATTGCACATTCAAATCCGAAACGGGGCTGAGTCCTGTTTTGGTCATAATTTCTCATCTAATTATATTCCGGTCGCATCTCCCTAACAAAAGAATGTGGTTCAGTATTGTAACGTTACTTTTGGTTTCGGTTCAGGTTCAGTCTGAATCCCATCGAAACTGTGGGGTCTGCGAACCCGAAAAATGCGTCCCACCGTCCGAGGATTGTTTAACGGGCCTCGTAAAGGATCTGTGCGGCTGCTGTTACGTATGCGGACGGCGAGAGGGTGCTCAATGTGACGGTGATACCCTGCCACTCCCATACCAAGGCAGAGGGTACGGGCCCTGCGGTGAAAACCTCGAGTGTAGGCCCCGCAATGATCTGCCTCCTTCGGATCCACCCGAAACGGAATGTGTCTGTATCAAAAAGGAGGCCCTATGTGGGAATGATGGCAAAACGTATGAAAATGAGTGTCAGATGACTGAGGCTAGATATAAATATAGAAATGGATTACAAGCAATACACAGAGGTCCTTGCAGCACTGGTATGATTTTAATTAAAAAAAATTATATATTTACGAATTGTTTTGCATTTTCTTACTATCTTACATACATTTTAATTATGTATGTCGCTATATAAACTCCTAAACAGAAGTTCTACAAGTGTATTATGATAATTAGTTTAAAACTTAATAAAATCTAAAGTTTATAATAAAAAACGGTAGTAAATTTTTTTTTTTTCAATTTCTTTGGAAGATATGTAAAGACCGCAACTTTTACTTTACTTTATTTACAAAAATTGGGCTCCTGGGCCACTTAGCGGCCCCTATCCCATACATCTAGAAATTTACAGAAAATTTATAGTAATAACATTTTGAATTTAGCAATCGATGTGGTAGCTAATAGAAAAACAAGCACTTTGCTTGAGTAAATATAACATTTGAATATCTGATTCATCGAATCAAAGTTGACATATATAAATATAAACATAATTTGACATATACATACCCTCCAACTTATGAGGATTTTGAAAATAATTCTTTCTAGTGGTAGCGAACCAAAGTAGAAATTTTTAAAGCAAATGGATCTCTCATAAAACTTTTATCAGAACTTAAGAATCTAGCCATATGGCCTGCAACTTTTTTAAGTAATAGTGGACAAGTTACGCTAAAATTAATTTTTTTTAAATATCAAGACATTAATTTTGCTACCATCTGAAAAGAAGAATTTTGAAACTACGGAAATTCCGTAGCAGTTGGAGGGTATGCATATATATATACATAAGTTGACATAAATAAATATTAACATAAATTGATACATATTTCACTAATTAAATTTCTGTATTTTAACTAGCACACATTTAATTATGACATACATTGAAGTTCATTCGAATACATTGTGGTAGCCATAAAAAAAAATCAAGCCGTTTGCTTGTGAAATAGTAAAACAATGAAAAAATTTAATATGACAAATTGGCGTTTTTACTTAACACTAGAAATATTGATTGCTGACTTAAATTAAAAATAATGATAAAATATGATTTGATATGTACAGTAATTGATTTTTGAAAAATGAAAGGCCTAATTGATGAGTAAAGACCGCGAAAAAAGTCAAAATAAAAATAATGCTTTAATTATTTAATAAATTATGAAAATTAACATTTTAAAATTGAGGCGTAACATTTTAAAACTTCTTTTTCTCTAATTCAAAATTTTTTTTATAATTAAGTCACCATTTGCTGACAGCCTTTGTTGCCACCTTTGACAGATTTTGTATCAAATTTTATTTTTATAATTAAAGTGGTAGTAAAATTTAAGTTTCCAATTTACTTCTTAAATTTAATTTTACCCTTTGCACTCTGAGTACTTTTAAATGCTGTTTGATCTAATAGCAGCACTATAGCATTTAAAATTCACAATAAAGTATTATTATACAATTTTAAAATTCTTAAAATAATGTGATTACTAATTATTAAGGCATAAAATTTCTTAACTTTAAAGTGGTGACTGTTGATGGTGTCTCCGTGGAAACATCTGAGTGCAAAGGGTTAAAATGGTTTTGATGACCATTACATGTAAAAAATTAGGCATAAACAAATAAATATGTTAGTATGTGTTTAAGTACTTACAAAATGCTTATATTTTTGGTTAGAATTATAATGTAATAATTTATAATATAATTAATTCTACTTAGAATTATAATAAATAAATTTTTATTACCTCTAGGAAAAAAATTTTTTGGAAAGATTAAAATTTAGCAGTTATGTTGACAGTACTATTTCAACAGGGTTCCCACGGTTTAGAATTTTTTTTAAAAATAGTAGCATAGTAGCAGAAGTGAGGTATATCTAGATGTTTTAAGTTTTCACACAATAAATGTTTAATTTAAAGGAGATATATATGGGAATTTTTGGTAATTTTGCCAGCATTTTAAAAGCCTCACCACGAAAGAGTTAAAACAAAGTGGCTTTTTATATAAACTTTTGAATCATTTACATGTAGAGGTGGTAAAAATAATTTGAAATTAAATTTACAAAATAAAGAATCATACAGTAAAAGATAAACTTAGCTATCTATCACTAAAAAAAATTTTTCTTCCCAAAAAGCGTAGAAAGTTGGCAGTCCCGCCTTTATGTTTCATTCTGAACAAGGTTCATACGTACCTGTAAAAAATTGAAAACTGGTAGTAATATTAACCCTTTGAGTACATTTGACGAGTAAGATTCGTGCATTTATTACCAATTAATAAAAAGTGGAGACTAAAACATTTTACTGTCAGAGCCTATTTCAGAAAGAAATAATGCATTGACAAATACCACATCTTATAATTGACAAAACATTTAGTGAAGGTGTCGGGTCATATTTGGTAACTATTTAACAACAACAAAAAAAATTTTTTTTTAATTAAAAACTTACTTCCAGGTTTTTAATTTGGTTGCTTCCTCTTAGTTCGAAATTTAAATAAACCAGATCCAAAGGGTTAATATGATTTTTTATTATCTATATTTGTATGATTAAAGCTACCGTAATTTAATTACTCTAAGCTAATACCTACAGATCCGAAGGAGGCAAATATGAAATTTATTTCGTTAGTTCAAACTAATATTAGGACATTTTCAGTATCTTTATAACAATATTGATACCAGTTGTTAATTTTTTCCAGTTGCGTACGAACACTGTTGGATTTAAAAATTTTGATTTAGATTGATTTTAGCCACCATTGCATACGAACTAATTAAAACACATATGTATAAATCAACACGTACTATATGGTTGTCACTCGCGACTAGAATCACAAAAATGAAGTGACTAGTAAAATTGAAATTTTTTTAAACGTGATTAAAAGTACCAAAACTCTTTGTTGCACATTTCTTCTTCCATTTAATATTGAAAGTGATTGCAAAAGAACTGAACTGTATAAAACATCCACGAGCTTGAAGCATTTTTAGCTTAACCCGTTTTATCCCGACTTTATATATTGAAATGATACAAGAAGTGGTTTTATGGAAAAGGTGGTATAATTATACTGTCGAAATTAATTGGTTTTTCTACTGTTAGGGCATTCTAAAAGTCTTCGATGGATCAAAAAGGACTTGCTCCTTTTAATTCTAGATCTAATCAGAAATAACTAAATCATTGTGGTATCTGAGAATCTTTTAATTCACCCAGATAAATGAAAATTCTGAAAAAAGTTTCCCACCACAATGAATGTCTTTGAAAAAAGGAACTGTCCTAAATATATGACTCTGGGCGTTAACCGGTTAAACTTTGTGGTGTTGTGGAGGTGCTGGACTATAGTAATCACAAAAGAAGTTTTGGTTTAAAATATAAATAACTTGTGACGTAAGTTATAGTGGTAGTTACGATTGAATTAAAGAAATTATAAATATATAAAAATGAATTGAGTTTTAGCACTTTTTACCTTTTTTATTACATTTTTTGTCACCCGTAGCATCCTTGGTATAAGAAGTAAACATAGAACTAACTTGCTAACATATGCCAACTGGCTCCGGACAGCGGCAGATAAATATATTCAAGTGGTAGTCTTTTAATGTATGATTTTTGGTTTAGTAAATTCGATTTATTTATCCGATTTTTACTCACCACTACATCTAAATAATTCAAAGGATTTACGTGATACCCCACTTTGTTACAGTTAAGCAGCGTTGTGCCTTTAAAAAACTTGGTAAAATTAACCGAAAATTTACAAATTTTAGTTTGTAGTTCTCGACCGTTTTTAAAACGAATCCGGCGAAGTTGGCATGTCTGCATGCATACTTTTTAATATTTAACTGTTTTGGAGTCCAGTTAACACGTTGAATGCCATGGGGTCGCTGGTGACGGGCACTGAGTTTGTTCGTAGCGCCACCGGGGTCACCGATTACCGACGAAGCCAAGATTATTAGAAACACATAATTCGAGTAAATTTTTAATCTTTTTATATTATTATCGTTACTAAAATGGTTTGAAGAAATTAATGCAATATAGAATACACAAAAATATTTTTATTTATATACACAGAGATGCTAACTTGCTCCGGACAGCGAATAAATATTTTCGAGTGGTAGTCTATTAATTGTGATTCTTGGTTTAATAAATTCAATTTAGTAGATTTTTTAGTAGTAAACAATTCGTAGGCTTACATAATTCACCACTTCTTTCAGACTTGTCATGCTAAACCTTTTAAATAGCTAGAAAAATCTGTCAATATTTGCTAATTTAGTTATTTACCGTTAGACCAGATGGGCAAGCTATGTAAAAGTAGCGGGGATTCAACTTGTTAATACTTTTAAGAAATATAGTAGTTTAAAATTAAAGCTCCGCTTTATGTGTGTATGGCAATCACAATGCGACTTTTTTATTTTTTTAACGGCAAAAGTGCTTTGAAGAAAGCTTTTAAAATATTAATTATAAGGCTTCAAAATTATACACATATTATTTTTTCAACTTGTNATTGTGGTAGCCATAAAAAAAAAATCAAGCCGTTTGCTTGTGAAATAATAAAACAATGAAAAAATTTAATATGACAAATTGACGTTTTTACTTAACACTAGAAATATTGATTGCAGACTTAAATTAAAAATAATGATAAAACATGATTTGATATGTACAGTAATTGATTTTTGAAAAATGAAAGGCGTAATTGATGATTAAAGACCGCGAAAAAAGTCAAAATAAAAATAATGCTTTAATTATTTAATAAATTGTGAAACTTAGCATTTTAAAATTGAGACGTAACATTTTAAAACTTCTTTTTTTCTCTAATTCAACATTTTTTTTATAATTATGTCACCATTTACTGACAGCCTTTGATGCCAACTTAGACAGATTTTCTATGAAATTTTATTTTTATAATTAAAGTGGTAGTAAAATTTGAGTTTCCAATTTACTTCTTAAATTTAATTTAACCCATTGCACTCCGAGTACTTTTAAATGCTGCTTGATCTAATAGAAGCACTATAGCATTTAAAATACACAATAAAGTATTATTAAACAATTTTAAAATGCTTAAAATAATGTGATTACTAATTACTAAGGCATAAAGTTTCTTAATTTTAAAGTGGTGACTGTTGATGGTGCCTCCGTGGAGACATCCGAGTGAAAAGGGTTAAAATGATTTTGATGACCATTACATGTAAAAAATTAGGCATATGTATAAACAAATGATTATGTTATGGTTAAGTACTTACAAAATACTTATATTTCTGCTTAGAATTATAATGTATTAATTTATAATATAATTAATTCTACTAAGAAGAAAATTAATTTTCTTTTATTACCTCTGGGAAAAATCATTTTTGGAAAGATTAAAATTTAGCAGTTATGTCGACAGTACTATTTCAACAGGGTTCCCACGGTCTAGAAATTTTTTTAAAATGGTAGCAGATGTGAGGCATATCTAGATGCTTTAAGTTTTCAATAAATGTTTAATTTAAAGGAGATATATATGGGTGCAAAAAATACCTCTGGAATAATTTCCTAATTTACAAATGAAGTAGTCTTGAAAAATTTAGCTACCACTCGTTTATTTTTTCCAGGTTGAGGAAAACCTGTTCAAGAAATAAAAAAAAGTGGCAGCAAAAGTATTTTATCGTACTAATATATTCATATTTATCGATAGATATGAATCATTCATATCTATCGAGACATTCAGATCTATCGTATCGAACTATTTTTTACAATTGAATTTTTAAAGTTCGGTTGAAAATTTATTACTTTTGTAGCGTTGATGTGATATCAATGTATCTGTGATTAACAGAAACGATTTCGTTCAAAAGTAAATAAGCTACCATTTTTGTTGTGCTAACATTCTGCATTTAAATTAACCTTTTATTGTCGAGGCATAAATTTTTCAACAATGTGAAAAGAATGCTTTACGAAAGAAGTGGCAATTAAATTCTTAACCCTCTGCAAATTTAAACAACACTTGTGATTTGATTTCAGATCCAAATAGAAATATATTAACACATTGAATGCCATGAGGGTCACCGGTGACCGGCACTGAGTTTGTTCGTAGCGACACGGGGGTCACCGGTGAAGCCAAGATTATTAGAAACACATGATTCGAGTAAATTTTTAATTATTTTATATTATTATCGTTACTAAAATGGTTTGAAGAAATTATTGCAACGTAGAACACACAAAAATAGTTATATTTATATACACAGAGATGCCAACTTGCTGACAGAGATGACAACGAAAAAATATTTTCAAGTGGTAGTTTATTAATTGTGATTCTTGGTTAAATAAATTCAATTTAGTAGATTTTGATCCACCACTGGTTGTAAACAATTCGTAGGTTAATATAATTCACCACTTTTTTCAGATATGTCATGCTAAACCTTTTAAAAAACTAGCAAAATCTGTAAAATTTGCAAATTTAGTTTGTACTTATGTACCATTTGGCCAGACGGGCAAGCCGGGTAAAATTAGCGTGGCATTCTACGTGTTAATACTTTTAAGAAAGATAGCATAGTTTAAAATTAAAGCTCCGCTTTATTTGTGTAAAGCAATGAAAATGTGGCTTTTTTATTTTTTTAATGGAAAAAGTGCTTTGAAGAAAGCTTTTAAAATATTAATTATAAGGCTTCAAAATTATACACATAATTTTTTCCAACTTGATTGTTTCGAAAAAGAACGCGTTCTCCTCCTCTTAAACAGAAAATAATACTTCTATTCTGAGAAAATGAGAATCTGAACTTCCGGTGTCTGTTAAAAGTAAGCGGAGTATTTTTTTTTTTTTTTAGTCGTTTTTAACATGTGCCGTCATCTTCAATAAACAACCTTTGAACCCACGCACGGAGCAATAATTACTAAACCAACCAGATTTGGCGTTATATTGCTTTCTTGTTTCTGTCTTGCCTTCAGTTAGAATTTTTTTCATTCTATTTATTTGAATATTAATTTTTATTTGAAGATAATAATTAATTTCAGCAACTTAGATGATTTTTTTTTAGGAACTTACACTTACTAAATAGTTTTGGATCCATTTTAAAGATTTTGTTTAGTTTTGTTTTAGATGTTTATTTTATTTATTTTTGAAATGTTTAAATTGTCTGAGCAATCAAACTGGATTTCATGGAAAGTGCTTTAATTAATTGACTACTAGTCAATTGGACTGAAATTCAATTTTTTATAGCGCAAGAAAAGTACAATTTTAGTCCCCCCCCAAAAAAAAAAAAAAGAAAGAGAGGAATAAGAGTAGCACATAAACTACGCGAATTTTTATAGCTTCCACTTAAATTTTCAAAAGAATCACAAACTTATTATTTCTTATCGGAATTTTAAAAAAAAATTCTGTTAATTTATGAATCGGTCATTGTTGAAGTGAATTAACTTCTTAAAATAGCATTCGACCACAATTCTTTTTTTTTTTTTTTTTTTTTTTTTTTTTTTTTTTTTTTTTTTTTTTTTTTTTTTTTTNCTTTTTACATTTTAAGCCACCAGCGGCATCCCTGAAGATCAAATGTGTATAGAATGTAATAGAAGGTCAAATGTATACTAGCTTAGAAAGATACTCAGTGTCAGGCAAAAATAAATATTTTTAAATTCACTATTATTCCAAAAACAAAAAACATGCTTTTGTATGTTACTGTTTTAGTAAATTATAGTCTGTCCAAATTTCGCAATTTTTAACCATAACTACTGTTGCAGAAACGCAACATTTTGTTATGATACAAAAAATACTTTCACGCAAAGGAAATAGAACATTTGTGTTTCATCAAATTTGAAATTTTCCCGACATTTATACTTGAACTAATTTAATATGGTAAACACGAATATCTATTATTTTTTTTATTTTCAAGATTTCACGATTGAAAGAATTGAATAATGGAAAAATTGATCCTTAACCCTTTAACTCTTTCATTTATACTTTTTTTAATGCTCTAATTACAAGCAAAAATATATTTTGGTTTAACTTAATCATAAAAGAAACAGTCGAATAGCTTCTAAAAAAAAACCTGTTAGACTATCCGAATTATATTTGTACTAAAATATAAAATCAAATAATAATAATAATTAGTTAGAAAAAAAATTATTCGTAATTGATTTCGTAAATTAAGGAAATTTCAGTGATGAATAACTGTTTCTGTTAGATCTAAACAACTGCAAAATTATTGTGTACAACTAAGTATTTTATTTGTATTTCAGTTGCGAAAATAATCACTCCACCTGAAGACGTTTCCAACAGTACAGGTGGCAATGTCGCTATGACCTGTGAAGCTATGGGATGGCCTGTACCTACCATTGAATGGAGAGTGGATAGGGGTAAAGGGGATACTAAACCCCTTCCTAGTATGTATAATTTTTTTTTTTTTTTTTTTTTTTTTTTTTTTTTTTTTTTTTTTTTTTTTTTTNTTTGATTTTTAAAATTTTTTTCAGTCTGTACATAAGATGCTGCTTTAAATTTCTGGAGCAAATCTAATATATTAATCTAATGACTTCTGAAAATATTATGTAAACTGCATTCAAAGTTTGGACAAAATTATGAAGACTCTATACTATACTTATACTAACTCTGTACTCTCGTATATACTTTATATACTTATACTAACTTATACTAACTCTATATTTATTCTAACTCTGTATAAATAATATTTCAACAAATGTGTTAGAAGATTTTACAAGTCAAAAATGTGGGGACAATTGAAAACATTATGCTTGAAGCTTTTAGAAGTGGATGTGATTTTTACCCACGCAGAATTCGGATCAATCAAAATGAGGGGAGGAAGTTAATTAATTTTTTTCAGCAATTACAGTCCCTGGCCAAATTATTAGAAGCCCTATAAGGTTCTATGTAAAATCTTAATTATCAGTTGATACTATACAGCTTTATTGAAGTCATTAGATTAATATATTAGATTTGTTATTTTACAAAGAAATTACTTTAAATATTACAAAGAGTTACTTTCCCCAATTAAATACATAGAGTTCCGAAAAGAAGAATTTGTACTTACGATTATGTTAATTTTCCTTAAAAAAAAATAATAAAAAAATAAAACAGAACTAATATATTCTTTGCTACCAGATTTTTATCTTTCCAGATGTATCACAGCTCTGGTTAATGAAACTTTCATAAATTTTCTGTTCTTAGGCGACGATTCCAAAATATCTGTGCAATCTCGAGGAGGTCCAAGCAAGTATGAGGTTACATCTTGGTTGCAGATGCTGAATGTCCAACCAGATGATGATGCTACTTATTGGTGCATTGCTAAAAATGAAGAGGGCGAATCATCTGCTGCTGCCAAATTAATTATTCTTGATTCAAAAGGTTAAAAAACTCTTTAATTGTTATTATATTTTTTACACTTATGTCTAGCGCCCTTCTAAATCGACGGTAGGTAGTAAAAACATACATCCATTTTTTTCCACATGGCTTCATATTTGGTGTTTTTCTTATTCAGACAACTTTTTGTGGCCAATTGTAAATGGATTAAGTAAACATGTTTGATATCTGTTCCATACCGAATTGCGGCTATATCAATGTTCAACTTCGTAGCAATGGAATATTAAACTCAATTTAAAAGACAGAAGTACTCCTGGAATTACTGTGAAACTTTTTAAAGAATGATTTTCTTTTTAAAGTTTTGTTCATAAAAGCTGCTAAAATAAAGAATGGGCACACGTCAGAAACATACTAACGATAACAGCACCACTCTTCAGCAGAGTCAGACTAAGGCAGGGCCATACGAGGCAGTTGCCCCGGGCCCGCACCTCAAGGGAGGGGGCAAAATCGAATAGAAAGTTTATTTTACATTCCCCTCTTTAATGAACTTTTTTTAAACAAAATATGCGAAATAAAATCCGTCAAGTTTTATGTTGGCTTCTTCATTAATCTATCGTATGAACACAATCTACATTTCGACAATCCATGGATATTTAGGACGGAATTTTGAAGCATATTTCTACATTTTCGAAATTAGTGTGGACAAAAATCAAAGTCCTGTATTTTTACATATCACAAAATGCGATATGTTTACAAAAATACAGGCTTCTGATTGGCTTAATTGAGTCATCGTAATTTAGAAAATTCAGCTGAATTCCGCCCTAATGTCAGCAAGGATATGAATATTTCGCTACTAGATAGTTAACGCTTAACTTTTCGCTGCTGCGAAGTTAACAATCAGAAAACTGCATTCGGCACGATGGACATAGAATTGTGAGAAAATCAATAAAGTGGACAGTACAATATTTCGTCTGACCATTGGACGGGGGGGGGGGGAACTTTGGAACTATTTTAGATTTTAGTCAATTTTCTTATTACAGTAGAGTCCCGATTATCCGAGTTAATGTGGACCACGACTAACTCGGATAACTGAAAAACTCGGTTAAAACGAAGAGTATAATAACGGGAAGAAAAAGAGAAGGTATAAATGTAATATATTTAAGAAATACAAAATGTATACGAGTATACCACCAGCATTTGCGT